CCATTTTTTGTGGCAAAATAAATGGGCATTTAAGAAACGAAGAAAGTGAGTTGAAAGTAAATGTAAACATTGTCATATTTTTTACACATATTCGTATCTATATCGACCTTCCACAGTTCATTGCATAGTTTATGTTAACTACCCCCCTGTTTTGTTCGAGGGTACGGACGTAACGTGGTTTCCATACATAAATAGTCGCATTACATCCGTAACAGGAGTTCGTTTTTTGGACCTGAAAATATTTGTTAACTACACTATCGTGGTTTGAAAACTACAACCCAGATGGACTTTTTCTCAACTCGGCGTTTGCTGCTGTATTTCAGTTCAAAAGAAATAATTTGTTCTTGTCAGAATGCCAAGCTTGGTTTCCGCAGCCATTCTTTTGCGCCCACAACCCTTGGTGTTCCGTAAAGCTGAAGTGTGCTCCCCTCGTTGGAAATGGATTCTTCCATGCTTCAACGGCTTTTTCTAGAATTCGCCAAACAAAATATCACGTGGCAGATGTTGTCAGGCATGTATTTACCCGCTTGCCAAACACAGAGTTTCCACATGTTACATCTGTGGCGCAGTTACGCCACCCTAAGTTTATTGAAAGTGATTTCGGCCATTAGAGACCGGTATCATTGAGTTCGAAGTACAAGATCGTAGAAAGAATGAATCCTTAAAAATTACAACTCGTGTATGTGCTCATTCTTGGTAATTTTTTATTATTTGCAATTTACAATTGATCGAAAAAAATCCGGACGATTTACAAGTTACATCCAGATCTTGTTAACTATTGCAATGACCGTTAGTCTGTTACCATTATGTAATAATAGGGGTGGTACCGTGATGCCCGTGGAGGAGCCATAAATTAAACTCATACATAAACAGGTTGTGAGCACATTTTCAAACTGACAATGTTAGCCATCTATCATTAAGCACTCACTCCAGTTTGCATACTTCCATGCTGGTATGATATTATCTAAACCTAAAAAGAAGAAAATATGGTACATGCTCCCACATGTAAAAAATGGTATAGTTTCGTTGCTAATACATCTAGTTCCACATATCTCTCAAGGATTAACAGAGGAGCGATTCTGCGCCGTGAGGAACCGTGCTAGCGAGCACAACGTGGTGTGTGCAGGCTGCGGGTTCCCTGTTCACGCCCCGTGCAGGGACGGGACTTGGGCAACATTCTGGCCGGGAAGTCATAAATAAAGGTGCCAAATTTTTTGCATTGTATTCTGTGAAATCTCACATGATATTTTCAGTGTATTTTGACTACAATCATGCATAAATGTGGTAAAGATCAACACAAATATTGCCATCCAGGCGGCCATATATGGCCTCAAAGATTACACTTCGTTCGAACCCTACCATGCTGACCAAATACGGGAAAATGCTCAGCCCAACTGCACGGTACCTGGTCTGGAAAGTCTCCCAAAACGAGTTCATGTACCTACCCTGACATTCGTTCTTGTGGTGTATTCCCTTCCTTATTGTTTTATTTTTGGTAGAATACTTGCCATTCTTTAGAACATACCAAATGAATCTTCATTACATATTGCAACTCGGAGAATCTTCGCTGTGCGCTGAAACTCTGTATGGTTTCCGTGTCGCATCCATTACCTGCTAAATGTGGCATAATACCTGAGTATTTCCTTGTCCGCCTTAGTTATTGCAAAAGTATTACTAGTTATGAGAAACAAAATGTGTTAAAACTTGGGGGGAAAATGACAGATGTCATACTTTGTTATCCAACTTCATGGAGTGACCCATATGCATGTACATACATGTACACGTGTGCGATGTACACTGTTCAGAGAAGCATGTGTGAGATCAAGGTGCAGATCAGTCTATAATTGTTTCCATTTCAGACATTGACATACATCTGAGCTAGTCTGAAGCACTGGACTTAAGAATGTAGATCCTAATCACAGAATCTTTTGTCCAGTGCCAGTGCAGGAAGCCTCTTAAATAACAGATATCTCTTGGTGTGCTATAAACCTGATAAGGCAAGATATCCACATTATGCATTGTGGTCCTGCCGCAGAGCGCTGGGCAGTTCTTCTCCCTCTCTGATCTACCCAGTGGATGCGGCACCATGTGACACAAAATGTCAGGCTGAAGCTCATTAAAAACTGCCTATTGTACCCCAACTCTATTGTTATGTAAATTGGGATGCTTCCCTCCTAAACCGTAAGACCTGCTACGAAGATTAGTGACTAACCTGGCATCGGGTGCCGAGAAAGTTGCATAGCACAAAGAAGATTATTAAAACCTTGCTTGCAGGCGTGACCGACCGGCTGGTGGTCCGGACACGGCATGGCATGGCGCGGCGCAGGGCAGCGTCTAGTGACTGATATGATTGTTTAAATGTTGTCTTTTAAGCCGCCCGGAATATAGGCAGCAGGGACTTTTTAAGTCTGAGAATTAAAGTGTAAGCCGCCGTTTACATTCCAAAATTACGGTACGTACAGGCTAGGCCTGCATTATAATAGATTCCTAAAGGTAAGCATGCAAGGACTTGCAGGTTTAGACAACATGTCCCCCAACAACTTTGGTGACCGTGACGATTCTTTTCCAAAAAGGTGGGAGACCTAGACCTTTTTTGGTTGCTGTAAATACATGTAGAACATTTTGTGCAGAATTTTTCTCCAGCGAGGCAAATCAGTGGCAGCATCCCGTTGTAGGCTATGTGTGTCATGAAATGCATTCAGCCGTAAACCATCGTTATGCATGTTTTCCTCCCGCTCTGCATGGCGCCGCACTTTATCGGACTGCAGGACGCGGCAGTGTATCTATATCCGGGGGACCGCTGGGCGCCAATAAAAATAATTTTGATGTCACGCCCAGAGTATCGATTTGGAGTAGCCAGCACTGTGCTTATGACATGGGAAGTAGTAAAAATGGGGAGTCTCATGGTATGAGCCTAGTGCTGGTTATTCCAAGCTAATATAGTTCCAGCAACACTGTCGTATATGCAAAAAATAATCTAATGAATCGTGATGTTTGAGATGCTTTATTCATGTGGTTTTTTCAAATTGTAAAAGTAGCACCCAAAGCATGTTTTTCACAAGGATTCTCAACTCCAATGGTATAAGGACATGGAACTCTGAATCGGCAAATATGATTTTACAAAAAAAAGGTCTTTCCTTTTTCTTTTTGAAAAAAAATTGCTTACATTAGTTCATGTAGATCTAACAACATATAATATGCTACAAGACTGTTGGTTCTCAGTAGATTGACCTTTTAAGTCCCTACCTTATATTCTTTTTAATCTGTCATAGTCATGATGCACATGACTACAATATGCTTTGTGGCATCGATGAGGAGTATGCATTAACTATCCCAGCACACAGTGGGTGGTGCTAACTGGATTAATCTATCAGTTACATTTACAGTTGGTTTTTCACATCTAGAAGATGAATTTGAAATAATTTTTGATTGCTGTTTTCTTTTGCTTTTGCCCTACAGATCACCACAAATACTCTGCTCAGACAGCAATCCAAACATGACACAAACCCTCAGTTGGGCATTGACACTCAGAAAATGCCTGGTTCTCATCAGACGCACATAGTACCCTTGAGCAGATACATTGTTGGTCAAGGCACCAAGCATACACCGGCATCTGTTAGTGGTGCTTTTGGCACTTTGGTGACAAGCACTTCAAAGGAGAAACCTGTTCCAGCTGTACTGATAAGACAAGGAGGCCAGCCTGATAAACTTGTGCTTATGCAAATACATCCATCGGGAGCAAGAGTCAGTGTAGCATTACCCAGAGGAATGAGTTGGTCAGTCGAACCAGTGAAGCAAAATGTGAGAAGATGTCAAGCTCAACCGTAAGCTGTAATGAGGAAACCATTGACAGGGGAGGAGACAGTAAGTCCTCTTCCTGTTTGAATCTCTCAACCTCAAACATTGTGGATGCAGAAGTGGCAAATCTCCAAGAAAAAGATCCAGTCAAATCAGTTCCACCAGTCACCAGTCAGCAGATTACCAAGACCTTGGATGAGCGCTTCTTAGGTCATTTGGGTCTGAGGAAAATTGACAAAGAGTGTCAACAAGGTGGTTCGAAAACAGAGAATGCTGCAAGCAAGAAAGATTCAGGCAAGGAGTACATTGGGATTGGAGTAGATCAGCAAGGAGGTGCTGGTGGAAGTATGTCAGGGGATGGCCAGAACTCCAAGGAAGATTCTGATCTACAGGTGAAGGGTTCATCAAGGCAAGCATCTCAACCAAAGGTTCTACCAGCCAGCCAACCACTGAAGGCTGTCTCCGATGTATCAAAGTTCTCCACAATTAAAGTGATCAGTCCCGTCGGTGAAAACAGCAGCCTAGCAGAGCTAGACATCTCTGGTATGAACAATGGGATCAGTAAAGATGGCCAGGGTGCTAGTATTCCAAGCAGTAATTCACTTTCAAATCCTGTGAAAAACTCGCCAATCTACATCAAGGTCAAACTGGAGGAGAAGGACGTTACAGTCATTTGTTGCCCTGTTGCACTGTTGCTGCAACACAAAGAGATCCTAGATGTGACTTTGCAGGCCAACGATCCAAACAGCTACTCCATCACATGCCGCAAATGTTCACATGTGGTCTCTGATCCCTACACCATGCTGCAGCACCTTAAAGTACAGCATCAGATTCAGGGGTGCCTGCAGAAGCTTCTGAATCTGAATAGTCAATACCTGAGCTGCATGAGCCAGCCATTGTGTGTAAACATTACTGGTGTATTGACTCTACCCGATGGTCTCTCCGACATGGAGCAAGGTATTATACGCTTTAACAGCATGGGCATCCCGAAACTGAGTTTTGTCTGTCGGCTCTGCCCACTGAGCTTCCACACTGCAAGGGGACTTTGTGCTCACCACCAGTATTTCATCAGGTCCAGGAGCCAACAAACCAGTGACAACTCTATGTGGTTCTGTAGACTGTGTCCTCGGCAGTTCCAGAGCTTTATGGACTACTATGCCCACCACAAATGGATGCGTGTGGCCAAAGAATTGTTTGTCAGCACAGACCAAGTCAACAAGAGGAAGAGGTTTGAAGTCATGAATGAGTCGGGAAAGGTGGTAGCTAGCATGGAAGTCCCAAAGACTCACAGCTTTGCTATCAAGCCATGGCCAGTAACTAACCCTGATTCCTGTGAGGACATCGGCTGGGGCCACAAACCAAGTCTAAATGACAGAGCCCCTCAAGGTAAAGTGGAGCCACTTATCCCAGAAGCTGATGATCAGGCATTTTACATAGATGCTGGGACTCCAGGACCCAGCACAATCACTCTGGTGTCAACTCCAGATGGGATTAGTTCTAAACAACCAGATGAAGCAGACAAAGGAAAAAGGATGACTCCCCCTCTTTTTCAGACCCTGGACAGTCTGTGTCGGAGGCTTGCCCAAAGAGTGGACACCTCAACCGGCTTGGACAAAGTGATCTCCGTAGGGGACAAGCAGATTGACGAAGACCACGAATATCTCTGTGGTATATGCCACAAAACCTTCCCTAGATTGCCTCAGATGCAAGGTCACATGGGAAGTCATGTCAGGAGGCGCCGGGCCAACAAGTATGCACCCCCTCCCCCTGTTGCTGTTGCCTCCTCCCCAGCTGACCCACCTAGTGTTGAGCGAGCCCCTACAGTTGAGCCTCTTGACGTGGAATATAAATGTGGCGTCTGTAGTGAGACCTTCCCCAAGCTGGACCAGATGGAGATCCACATGGAATGCCACAACAGGCCACATCAGACCACCCAACCACCAGTGAAGTCACCACCAATGAAGTCCCTGGACACCCCTTTTCTTGAGACTGTTAAGTTGATGTCACTGACTTGTGACATCTGCCACTGGAGCTTCCCTACAGAGCGTAAACTATGGGATCACAGGAGCACTCACGCTCAGAAGAAGACAGAAGAGACAGGGTCCAGCATGTCTTCAAGAGCCTCCGGAGGTATTCAAAGGAAGACCCTGTATGTCTGTGTGTACTGTAAAAAGTCATTTGCCAGAGAAGTGAATTTGAGGTTTCATTTGAAGAAGCACAGTACAGAGGTTGCTGATGAGTCCAGTCAGACAACTGGAAACGTCTTGACCAGTCCAGACATGCAGGCCCAGCATGCTTGTTCTGTTTGTGGCAGAGCATTTCGCTCACACAGGCAGCTTAGAAGTCACATGGTTTGGCATGCCAAATTCCATAAAGGAGCAGATAAACCGCCAGTCTCCCTTGTGGAAGCAGGTGGTGCTTCCAAGAAGTCACTTGTGTGCAACACCTGTGACAAAGTATGCTGCTCTGATTGGGAACTGCGACTTCACAAGAAGAAGCATGCCTCACCAAAGAGGTTGCTTGTCAGACACACCTTAGCCAATGAAGATTCAGACCCGGCAAAGAAAAGGACCCTCGCACAGCGGGCTTGCAATCTGAATAACAAGGAGGGAGTGTCAGATACAGCGGCGCCAGGAAGCAGTACACTGAGAAGGTCCACCAGACCAAGGAGAGAGGGCCTGTACAAGTACTTCTGCAGGAACTGTCGTAGTTATTTCCAATCAAGTCAGCAGTTTGCAAGACACATGGCTGTGCATACGAACATGGCTGGCCCAAGCCACAGGACATCCCCAGGCAGTCCTTCAAACAAAACCAGAGGTTCAGATAGTGGCCAAGTGCTGATGCAAAAGCAGAGTGATGGTGATGTAAGTGATGATTCAGGTGGTGGGATAGATATGAGTTGGTCACCATCGCCAAGTTCAGCCGATGAGCAACCCCCACCAATTGACAAACTTGGCTCAGACACCAGTGAAATACTTACAGATAAAAAGGTCAGTGAAGAAAATGAGAACTGTGTAACCACTGAAGATTCAGGTCCAGCAGTAGAGGATACAAGTCAGATATTGAAAGAGACTGCAGCTGATGAACAATCCCCACATAGCAGTGCCAAACCAACTGAAAAACAAAACACAGATCCTGTTATGAGCTCCGCTGTTTGCAAAGGAGCAAGTGCTGAGATGAAGGAAAAAATACTCGCTTTGAATCAAGGTGAAGCAGCTGAGGAACAGTCCGTACCACTCTGCTCAGATTCAAAAGTTTGCGAGGATGTAGATGTACTAATGACTGCTGCAAATCAGGTGACAGGTTCAAACAAGTCTTCTGCAGGATCTGAAGGTCTCAAAATACTCTCGCAGAGCAAGAAACTATCTGCAAACTCCTCCATTTGGGATGGCATCATGCCTAATGTTGAGACACAGCCAAAAGCACCATCAATAGTGCTCTTGGAGGATTGCCAAGTAAAGAAACAAGACAGAGATCTGAAAACTCAAACCCAAACCACAGTTTATGAGAACTCCAGTTCAGTCATGGTGAGAGTGAGCCCTGAAGGAAGCAGAATTGCTCCCGATGAGCAGGCATCTGAGACTAATGAAGCCCATCTACAGACAGATGATCAATCTGGAAAGGAGCTCTCTACTGATGCCTCTTGTCAAAACACTGTGGATGACACGTCTAATACTGTGACACAAAAGAAAGACAAAGGAAGTGGACTAATTTCAACTGAAGAATGTTCAGCAAGCCCCTCATTCAATAAGGGGCATGTTGAGGCCACAGAAAGACCAGTGCAGAAAAACATTGGGGGCCCACCCAGTACTTCCTGAAGACGTTGCTACAACAATGAAACAGACTGGTAATGATGTTGGATCAAGTGTAGCAGATCATGGAGATGTCAGTGCCATTGAAAGCCCATTAGATGATGACGGGAACTTGCACATACGTGAAGGTGAAATGTTGACAGAGAACCAGCAAGATCATGAGCTTGGTAAAGATTGTTACACATTGATGGTCATTGGATGTCATGAAACCAAAGCTATACCTGATGAACTCCCCTCATTGAGCAATGAAGCACATCTTGTGCAGGATGCCTGCTCTGTGATGGTTGCAGAAAGTCAGGAAACATCACTAAGCATGCCTGATTTAACACCCTTTGTGACTAGTGATAAGCACCCATGTGAGGATTCCACTTCTGTGCTGGCAGCTGAAAGTCAAGAAACCAGTGTAAATGTACTTGACGTGTCATCTTCAATGAACAGTGAAGCACATCCAGGTGAGGATACCTGTACCATGATTATTGCTGAAAGTGAGGAAACCAGACAAAGTGTACCTGATACACTGTCCTCAGTGCCCGATAATGTGCTTCCAGATGAATATTCTAAACCTGTGATGGTTACTGAAAGTGAGGAAACCAGACAAAGTACACCTTCTGTACCACCCTCGATGCACAGTGGCACAGACAAAGATTCCAACTCTGCGGCAATTACAGAAAGTTTGGAAATTATGCCAAAGTTACCACCTACACCACGTTCAGGGAGCACTGGCAGTCATCAAATTGTAGATTCCATCCCTGCGATAACTGAGAGTCAAGAAATTAAACCCGATGCACAACCCTCATTTACCTGTGATGAACTTCCAGGTGAGACAAACTCTGTGATGGTTGCTGAAAATCAAGAAACCAGACCAGCTGGAAATTATGCACCACCTTCACTGATTAATGGAACACATGATTCAAAGGATTGCAACACAGTGGTGGTAGCTGATAGTCAGGAATCAAAACCACTTATACCCAGTGCTCCCCCTGTAATAAGCAGTGATATACATCCACAAATGAGCTTAGGATCTTTTCATAGACACAATGATGAACCATGTACAAGTCCAACACAAGGAGGCAATTCTAGTGCCAAACTGGAGGCTATGACACAGGGCATATTTCAGCCTCCTAAGGTTCAGACAGGCCAACTACAGAATTCCACTGAACACAGACAGGAACAAGATGTTGAGCATCTGCAGAAGAGCAAGGCACAAACATCTGAACAGGATAATGAGTTTCCTGTGCCACAATCTGTAGTTATGGATGATTTGAGAGCAGTTCCAGAGCACACCAATCAGGTTACTACGTGCTGTGCCTTGGAGGAACAGTTCCTCCAGAGTGCAGTAGAACAGTTGCAGACCTTTGAAGAGAAGCAGGAGCGGGACATTGAAGGAACATTTAAAGTGCCGTCAACTGACGGTGACACATTTCAAACAAGCCAAATGACATCTCCAGGTCAAGGTGCTGAGGATACTACCTTGCTCCTTGTGGGTGTTGACGATTCTGATGCAGTTACGGTGGACAGCCCCATCACCCAAAATGTGTTCCCAGGGGGTGTTGAATCCCACTTTGGAATCGGTGAATCACCTACACCAGAGCAAGACAACAAATTGTCTGCTCACTCCACCCCTTGTGATGTTTCTGTGGATGTTGTTGGAGTGACTACAAATCAGAATTCAAATCCAGGGTCACCTGATGAAACTTCTGTGGAGGATGAAAATAGGCAGTCGCAAAACAGTGAACATCCAACGTGTGAAGAGACTGATGAACTTGTGCTGCAAATAGTGAATGTCAATTCAAATGCCTTGTCGAAGGAGGCAGAGAGTTCACCATTACTGGAAAATCCTAAACGCCCAACAGACACTGGCAGGGCATTAGTACGCAAGCTGGAAGATGTTCAGCCTACTCAAGCTTCTGGAGATAGTGATGGCAAGACAGGAAAAGCAGTGCAGGAACCAAGACGGAATATCTTTGAAGTTTTGTTCCAAAAGAAAGCTATCATACCTGATCCAGTACCCATGTCTGCACTAAAAGTCTCTGCCCCGTCCCCAGTTTTGGATGCTTCACCAGCTGCAGTTGAGCATACTACTGAGAAAGCAGGACCTAGTGAATCTTCAGCTGAAGACAGCGTCGAAATGGGGGTTACCAAAAATACCTTACGGTACACCTGTGACATATGTAATAAATCCTTTTCCAAGAAATTTCAACTCCGTGGCCACAAAGGAAAGCATGGCAAAGAGGGGATAGGACCTTACAGGAGTCAACAGGATGATAGTGGTGTAGAGGTGTGTGAAGATAAACCAGTGGGAAGTGTCATATCAGAAACCAACAAAATTGACAAGGATGCTTCAACCAATAGTCTACCTAAGGAGGATTCAACAGAAGGAGGCACATCAGCACAGAGAAAGGGTGATCGTCCACTACACTCCACAGATTGTGTTGACTCGGAAGGAGAAGTGGTAGATGTTAGCCATCAAACGAGCCAGCCAACCAATTTAAGTCTTCCACAGTTAACCGAAGTTCCTGGTCAAAAGCCTGTGCATCCAAACCTCAGTGACAGTGCAACGTTGGTATTGACTGGTGAGACCCGGGAGGTTAGAGAGAAGACATCCTCTGCAGGAGCATCAGGGAGTGATGGAAGCCAGTTGCAGGACAGGGCATTTAATTTGCGTTCTACAGCTCGGTACAGTCTAGTAGACATGCACTGCGAAGCTCAGCAAGTGGATCAAAGTCAAATGACAAGGACCTCCTTCAAGTCTTCAGGAAAAGACAAAGGAAAGAAGCAGTTTTCTTGCCCTCATTGTGAGAAAACATATGCTCACGTTAACCAACTCAATGCTCACAAGAGGGTCCACATGGCCTCAAGTAAATCACACAGCTATGTCAAAGGCAGCTCAGATAATGCCATGAAAAGAAACGTTCGTAAAGTTTATAGATGCTCCATCTGCCATGCGACATTTTACAGTTACAAGAAGTTATGTGGTCACAAAGGTGCACACGTGGCACATAAGATGACAAAGTTCAGGAAATACAGCAACAGTGGTTCACAGGAACCAAATGGCCAAGAGTTCTTGGAAAGTAAGCCCAAAGTTTTGGAACCCAAAGGAACCAGTTCTGTCTTGGTAGAAGGTTCTGCAAAAAACTCTGGGAAGTTCACCTGCAAATTCTGCCCTGAAACATTTCAGTATGTGGCGCAGTTGAGAAATCATATTTTGGTGGGCCATCCAATGGCCAAGGGTAAGCTCTTTCTCCTGAAGCCATTCACCTGTGAACTGTGTGGCAAGGCCTTTACCAAGTCCAAGCAACGGCTACACCACATGAAGCTGCACGGAAGAAGGCGACGTCGCCGAGTCAAGAAGACCATGTCACTTCAAGACACTGACCATTCCTACTATAAAAAATTGCCTGCCAAGCATGGGAATGTTTTGGCTGAGGTAACTGGTACGGAAACGCTAAAAAAGGAGGCAACGGTCAACGTGAATAGTGCTCAGGACCCATCCATTCCTGATGTCAAAACCTCCCCAGAGAAAACCTTCAGCTGTCAGCTTTGTGAGAAATCCTTCAAATGTCAGCAACAGTTGGCTGGCCACATGAATATTCACAAACGGTATCCTTGTAAGTTGTGCACAGCTTCTTTTACTCTTGCGAGGCAGCTGTGCGGTCACCTGAAGGTCCATGGAGGCTTAAGAAAAAGACCTTTTGAGGAAAACCAATCCTTGAATGTCCAAAACCAGAGCGGCACTTCACATGATTCCAGTTCTAGGCCCAGTACTCCTGTTCAGTTAAGCACAGCATCCCGACGAGTGACGAGGCACACAACAAACAGTCAAAGCAACGCTCTTCTAAAGAGGGTTATCAAGATCTTCCTTACTGGCAAGTCAAAAAGGAAGAAACACCAACCAGCACAAACTGGTAAATGGTTACAACCAAAACGCAGTCTTCAGCGTGCATTAATGAAACACAAGCTAGTTCGCATTCAGAACATAATTGGAATTTTAAGGAAGTCTATAATCTTAGAGATTGATGCCAATTCACACAGACTAGTTTATGAGTGTAAGGAATGCCAAAGGCTGTCCTATTGCCACAAAACCATCCTTTCTCATTACCTAGAGACACATTTGCAGTCTGCTGAAGGAATTGAGAAGGTGCCGGCATCAGCCATCTCTGGAAGGGAAGATACTGAGCCTGATCTCCATCAGCGTTTCCGGAATAAGTCTAAAATTGGATGCCCAATCTGCAAAGGCTCCTCTGGTTTCCAGTGTCACCTCCACAATGAAGAGGACTTCATTGCGATCGATGCATTACTCGGACAGGATGAAGACCCTGAGGTGGTGGCATTTGAAAATCGCAGGGAAAGCTCCCCTAGCCGAAGTAAGCTGGTTCAGCCTTGTCAGGACAACACCAAAAGGCAGCCAGGAGATCCCTTCAGCTGCTCTCACTGTCCCTTCAAGGCCAAGTCCATGCAGAGCCTTATGGTCCACCAGCAGTTCCACTCAGAGAGGAAGGGAGATGTGCTTCCCCAAGGGGCTCCTTCCCGGGACTCTTCAGAGGGTGAGAAGTTGCTCAGCTGCCCGCTTTGCTCATTCAAAGTGAAAAATGTGTTTGGTCTGGCTGCCCATTCAAGGGTTCACAAGGGTAAAGGAAAAAAGAGAGCACTTGAAGATGAAGCCCAGAATCCAGCCTCAAGCTCATCATCCAGTCCCTCGCCAAGTCCCAAAGTCTCTTCTGAAAGCATCCAGACATCGGGTGACTATGTAAAGCAGAGGAAGAATGCCTATAACTGCCTTTTCTGCCCCAAGTATTTCCACACAGTAATATCGTACCGAAATCACATGAAAACACACGAGCATGTCTTCCAGTTTAAGTGCTCTGGATGTTCTCAGTCTTTCCTGACTGCTAGGATGTTGGAAGATCACATAAAGAGCACCCACTCAGTCAAACTCCCATATCACTGTAGTAAGTGCTCATTTTCATCAGCGTCATATCAGTCAGCACTCAGCCACATTCGTTCACATTCAACAGTTGTGGTAAACAGACAGCGCAAGGCAGATTGGTCAGACTACTTAAACGACGTTTTGAAGACTAGAGTACCTGAGGCTCCAAATAAAGTTTTGAAACAAAATGCGTCTTGGCCAGCCTTCTCAAAAGAGCATTGGTCAGCTTACTTAAATGCTGTCTTGCAGACAAGAGGACCTGAGGGGTCATCAGCTTCTCCGAATGGGAGTCCAACAAAAGATGCATTGCAGTCTTTAACCCTTGCCGGCCAGGGTAGGGAAGCACAGTTGCCAGACCAGGGAGGGAGTTCTTCAAGTGCATATAGGCAGAAGCCACACCAGGAGAAAAGCCAGACCACCTTGAATTTAAAACCTAAAGATCCTGGAATGAGGGCAGCAGAGGCTAAATCTGTTGTAGGTTCTGAGACACCCATTATACAGGATAGGCAAGTAAAGGATGGTCCTCAGTTGCTGTCAGATCCTCCTGATGAGTATTTTGCCTGTTCCCAGTGTAAGGACTTCCAGGCCTCTACCAAGGAAGACTGGGACAGCCACATTAACACTGTTCACAAAGGTGGCCTGGGCCCCAAAAAACTCAGATGCGTGATGTGCCAGTACACCACCACTAGCCAAGAGCGCTTGGAGCAACACATGCGACTTCACCGCCACCAGACCCTGCAGTGCAACTCCTGCAAGTACCGCACTCCACAGAGGCACCTCATGATTCGGCACGTCCAGACAGTACACAGGCAGCACAGGCCATTCAAGTGTAAGCTCTGCACCTACGCTACGGCCTATCGACACCACCTGCGACGGCATGCTGAGAAGCACAAGAACCCCAACTTCAAGTGTCGGTACCGCAAACTGTTGAAGAAGGGAGATTGGCACTCGGCTGAAGTTAGCAGCCGTGTGATATGCAGTGAGTGCGGGAGGGAGTTGCAAAACAAGAAGACCCTGCGCAACCACTACATCAAAGTTCATGGCAGGATCCCTGGAGGAAAGAGTCTGGCTGGCATTCCAAGATCCACCCAGGATGAAGAAGATAGTGGTGACATGTCAATTGGGACACGGAAACTGCCGTCTTACTCTGTCATTTGTGAGGACGTCCGACAGGCGCCTCTGGAGAAGTTGTACGAATGTTCAGTTTGCTCCTTGGAATTCAGGCGTCGCAGTGAGTTGAACCAGCACATGGCGCAGGGTCATGCAGAGACACAGGCCAGCCGTCCTTGCCAGTGTCCCCAGTGTGGGCTGGTGACAGGCAGCGGGCAGCTGCAGGCCCACATGCTGATACACCAGGAAGAGAACCTGCTCCAGTGTGAGGAGGAAAGCTGCAGTTTCAAGACGGCCGAAGCGGTTCACCTGCAGCGCCATCAGGCTAAGCATGCCGCTGAGCGGGATGTCTCCATCACCTGCCGCCTCTGTCAGGTCAAGTTCTCAGATGCTGACAGCCTGCAAATGCACAACCTTCAGGTTCACAGTGAGCAAATTAGCAGCATCAGTGCGCGGGCCCCCTTCATGTGCTCCCTCTGCCCTTTTGTCAGCCCCAACGAGAAGGATGCCAACCGCCACTTCAGGCTGCACAACTACAACCTGGCCTTCAAGTGCGAGTACTGCGTCTTTTCCACCTCCACCGCATCTGCCATCGCCACCCACCAGAAGATCCACAGGTACCCTCGGCGCAACATCGCAGCGACACTGCTGTCTAAGAAGGCCTCACAGCAGCGCCAGAAGATGCTAGCCAGCACCTCTGCCAAATCCGCAGACAGTCATAGCAGCCTAGTCACAGGCACAAGCCCAGAACGTCCTCGGCCCAAGCACGTCTTTGTCAGCAACAAAGGTAAAAAGCTGTATGAGTGCCGCTACTGCCAGAGGTTCTTTGATGTTGCCGAGGCATGGCAGCGGCATGAACTCCGACATATGGCCGAATGGCCTCAGTATTAACCCAGGCGCACATCCGCAGTGTCAAAGGAGGTACGTGGGAAAGTGGTATTGTATACAAAGAAGGGGGTGGCACAAGAAAAGCTGACTTTCCCATACTTTTAGAAACAAAAATGATTCCACTAAAAATTAAAGTTTTTACCTTTGACAAATCTGGACCGCCTCACCCAAAATTCTTCCTCCTTTTTTCATGGCCTGATGATGCACAGGCATTGAATTGTTTACATTGATTTTACTCTTGAAAATCAGTTGTGCCTACCACACTGCCACCTCTTGTTATAAAGGTGCATGTGTACATTTGTGTTCCTTTTGTGTCTTAATTTCACTACATTTTTTAAAGAAAGCAGAGACCATTCCACTGGAATGTGGCATAGTTGTACACTGCATGTTTGCCACAGGGTGCTTGCTTTCAGTGAGCAATGTTAGATTCTGCATGGTTTTTCTGGCAGGTTTGTTGTCTTATTTGAGCATGAGCTATAAATGGAACATACAATTATAAAATGGAATAATGCATTATGCAGAAGAGTGTCAGTGTTTTGTTATTGGAGCAACTGAGGTTACTCTACTGAGGCTTTTGGCAAACTCAAGTTTCATCCTTTTTGTAGAAATGATAAAATATGATACGAGACACAGGTACAAGTATCGTACGAGAGAGAATGTGAGAGAATGCCGTCATAATGAAATTGTTCATCTTCAAGATATGTAGGGCGTATTGAAGGCTGCAAGTAGTGACTGCAAACCCCTCTTGCACTCGGTTGGGGCAATGGCAGTTAAAGACAGCAAAATTACACATGTAAATATTTGTTTGTGTTGTGATAAACCTTAGTAGCCATTTCGCTTATATTCAGGCTGCCCTGAGTGGTTGGTGTAATGGTGATTTGTGTATGGTATTACGTTAAGACTTAGCTATGAACCTGTACATAGTTTGATCCAAAAGGAAGCGGAGGTTGTCATTTTTTTGTTTGGGAAGTGGTTTATGATTGTTTTCTTTTAATGTACATGTTCACCTATGCCTTTATTTGGTCTCTGTTGTTATCAGAGTTACAGTGAATCTGATCAAAAAGGTTTGTGAAAAAGTGTTGATAGTTGTTTTGGAAGTAAATTTCACTTGCACATGGTAGATTTGTTTTTTTCATTGAAGATTTAATACTTGGAATTGGAGTACCAATTTTAAGGTCAATTTAGCCTTCATAGTAGTTAGGTGATGCCTTTTTTCCCCATTTCTCCATTCTGGTAATTTCAAATATGTATGTATTTCACCTTTGTTAGTGGATGAACTGAAACATACACCAACATGGGATGTTCAGTTGTTGAAAAGCAATGTGGTCAATATGTACATGTACTCCACACAGCATTGTTAATCCTAATGAACTCCCTAGGGTCCGTGTGTGAGAATTGAAATGGGAGAATTTTAGGCCTATGGGGGTTATGGACATGGAGTTTACATTGATCATGTACACTTTTGCCTTGTAAACATGCACAGCAAAGATGTGTGTGGTACTGTACATTGTTAAGTATGCACCATGTGTGCAAGTAAATGACATTTGTTAAATAGCTGCTTGCTCTTGTTCTGCATTCTGAAGTAACTACTTGTACAATTTGCACAAAATTGAGGAAATTGGAAGCACAGTTTTGCAGTTCTAATCACGGTACAAGTCGTTGTAGGCACTGAAGGCGTTTGTGACTGGATGTCAAATTGTGAGGGCCCAATGGTGCAGGTGATTCAGTCTCATTCATCCTTGGTTGGAATCCTTGGCGGATAGTTCTCTGTCCGCCATACATGTATATTTTTCAGAACATTGCAGAATTTGAGAGAGATGGACCCCATGCAATGTAAACTCTAAAAAGTTACATGAATTGGCGAAAATGTTCCCCATGACCAGTATTTTTTTATTATTTGTAGTTCTGTTCACAGTTTTGAACTTATTTTTTGTTATTTTAAAATAGTTAATAAAGCACTTCAATAATTTTATGCTTACTTGAACTTTGTGTTGTTTTAGTGCGTAAATAGGATTGTAGTGTCTGGTTTTAGTACCTTCAAGTTTGTAGAAATCACAAAGTTTGTGACTGATAGTCAAGGTATGTGTAGTTTGCCTTATTTTATGTATTAAGGAATCTTTCAAAGCTTGTATTTGTGTCGCAGTAGCTGAAACTATGCAACATGTAAAGAAGCATGCAACACTGACCAACAAAAATAATGCATTGTTGATAGCAATACTGGCAATTCACAATATTGTGCCACCAAGAGTTGGCCAATCATAACGCGCGAAATTTGTCGACCCTCTCCAAACGCGCATTGGGTCGACAAATTTCGCAAATTGTGATTGGCCGTTGCAAACTCTTGAGGGCGCACTATTGTGAAACGGCCGTATTGCAATTACATGTATAGCGGTTGAAAAACTACTCTTTTATCATGTTGCACTCCGTATGATTTGTTCATGGTTGCATACTGTATTGAAAAAAGATGAACCACCGTTGTAAGATGATGTGTTTCTCTCTACCAAGCCTGTGTGCCTCTTGATACACTTTTTTGTAAATATCTTGGCGAGTTTCCTTGTCACTTTCTGTAAAATTTCTAAAGGGTGCCCTCTTCGAAATCATGTTGCTATGGCAACAAGGTCCTTGATAATTGTGTACACAGTTTGACCACCTTTAAATGTGTACACGTTGGAGAGTTTGGTTCAAGCAAACAGGTTAATGTCAATTTCTAGCTTCAGTGTTGTGGCAGTGAAGGTATTGAGATTGCCTTGCTACATGTGAATTGTTTCTGGGGATTTTGGAGTAATCCTTTTTTAAATTTAATTTGTTTTAGTTTGCATACATAATTTACAGATTTTGCAAAACATTTTATGCAACTATCTTTCCCACAAAACAGTACTCGGAATGTCTCAATTTTTGTATTAATGTATGTAAATAGCATGCACATGCAGATCAGGAGGAATTTCGGCTATGAATGCGCGATGTTTTCAGGATTTCTGTCCTCAAAAGTACTCAGATAGGCAGTATGTTACAGGCGCATAATGAAGCAAAAGAAATGTTCTAGAAATGTTTTGAAAAGTGGAAAAGGGAGGAAAAGTGCTTTTAAAAAGAAACATGAACTTATACTTTGGACACACTGATTTAATACACTGTCGGATCTGTCATTTTTCATGATTATATTTGCCAACTTGTTATAGCACAAGGTGTTTTGATAATGTGTAATGCTGCTAGAATTGTCATGAACTTTTGAGTACATGTATCAGCTGTGATACTGTTTATTAAAAAAAATAGTCATGAACTGTTTGCACCTCCTGTCATTTGGTAATTCTTACAGATTAAGGACTTGTTCCCATTTTGGAATATTCACTTTTCATTTTACTCTGGCTTACTTTGCTTTGGTGTACCATGGGTGGACTGAGTATTTGGTTGTTCATAGCAATTTTGAAAAGTCAATCAAGTTCATAAACCGACATCAAAGAAGGAAATTCAGTAACTTCATTAATTCAGTGGCACTGCAGACCTTTCACAAGACCACTTCTTGAAAAATTTAAACACGGTGAAAGCACTGTTTTCTTAAACCTACTGGTAACTGATAATGTACTCTGAAGACATTAACTTCTGGAGACTGAATGGACAGAATGTGAAATTTGCACAAAGGAGGTTATTTATAATTTGAAAAATGCTTGTCCTGTTTTGCAAAATGTAAGTGTATGTAACAAAATACTCAGCAGCATAATTAATCTTTAGGCTTGTACTTTTTAAAAATATATTACTCATTCAAATGTCTAAGGTCTAAGTCAGCTTTTAAGAGCATTGATGTAGAAAGAAAAATAGCTGTATAAAAATCATTGGCCTGTGTTTTTTTGGGTTTTTTTGCATCTTGGAGACTAAAAAACAGATAGGGAAAGTTTGTTTTCAAATCCTGTGTAGAAACAGATTTAATAGGATCTTAATGGTGGAAGTATCGTTCAGCATGTTTGTAGTGCAGAGTGTGGGGGAAACAAGTTGAAACAGTGGACCACCAAGTCTCATGCGTTGAGTTTGAGACTAACACTTTTCAAACTGTTCTCATGTCAATCAGACATCTTTCTGTAGTCCGAGTGTATCAAAAAGATGATGTTGGCTGTACTTTGCCTAGCATACAGTTCCAAGAAGCAGAGAGCACTTCGGTTGTGACATGATGTGTCATAATTTACAGTGTCCATTTGCGATGACAGATCAAAGTACTGGATGCAATGAAGTTATGATGGGGTGTGTTTTTCAAAGAAACCTATTGTGAATCCTTTTGGTGAATGAAAGTACTTTGCTATTTGTGTCATTGCATGCCAATGAAAATATTGCGACTTCAAGTTCAACCATTTTTTTGGTGTGTGCCAAAGGGCCATAGGCACTCGCGCATTTGAGACTGTGTCCGCAGCTCTGAAATGATTAGCCTATCTGTATACATACAGACTTCTGTATACCCGTTGCTCTGCTTATGTAGATTGCACGGTGTTGGTCAACGTCAACCTGTGTCAACTGTAGCGGTATCGCCGCTGTGCCGTGCATGGCATCATATGTGTTTCCATCATTCAAACCACAGGGGTCCTTTCTCCATGTTCAAACCTCGTCAACAGATTGTGAACCTGGAACAGTTTTTGTGAGGAAGATGTGGACTGAGGACCGAGTTGTGAGAACCGAGTTGTGAGAACTTCATATCAGTACATTGTTGTAGGTCTCCTCACTAACAAGGGCACAGCTCGTCCCCGCAATTATGAAACCTATTTGTACATGTTACATGAGATCTGATCAGATTATTTTGAGCATTGGTTAATGAATCAATTTTGCTTATTTGAGTTTCATATCCAGAGGCTGATTTTGTTTTACATACAGTGCATTAACAAAGCATTATTTTCAATTACACAATTTTTCTACTGAGAAAATAGCGGCTCCGATATTTGTATAAAGAATGAGCAAAAATGGTTCCACAGACTTTCTAAAAGACCAACCTGAATGTTTTCCTTTCAATTAACTTTAGCATATTACACTAAAAGGAATTTATTGCTTAGAGTGTGAATTCTGAAAGAATTTTCTCCAGCAGATACATATACTGGATCAGCCATTTTAGTTCTGCTTAATATGAAAAATACACTTAATTTGGAAGTAATATTACTCGACCATTTATATTTGTTGCATACCTGAATTGTTTACCAATTTTATGTTTGAGAGCACAATAAAAAGCACAATAAAATGTCTGGTAAATGCAGGTTAATTACTACACGTATACTCAATTGGCTGTCAGCTGTTGTGAACAGGTGTCGGCAGAATGCTTGAAGTCTCCTCCTCCAAATTATCCCACTACAGGGCCACCTGATGTTGCAAAATGAAGGCAAATTACTCAATATTTTTGCCTGTATTTCTGCCTATATTTATTGAGAGTTTCTGCATTCTCTGAACTCTGGAAAGTAATTGTCCCCTGTCAGATACATAATCTCTAAAAAATGTTTGGTTCTGTGTTTATTTCATCGACTATGTATTTCAACTTTTACAACAGTTAAACAACGTAGAACACACCCCACATCATCTTTGTTGTCAAAGAAGTTCCACTCAAATCACATTCTTCAACCTTAATAAATCACTGAGTGGCTATAAACAGCACTTGCTTGAAATAATACTAACATGCCGAGATAAATGTTCTGACCTATGCGCTGACTTTAATCAAAATTATACTTAGAAATTGACATCTGTATCAAGATATTCTATAGAATGGGAAATACACCTTGTTTTTTTGTGGAAAATCGTTGGACAAACGTCTTCCACATTAAAGTCTCAAATAAGTAGAGTGTAAGCAGATTTGGACAAATGCATTTATACTTAAAAAGCCATTTTCATCTCATTTTCATTCCATTTAGTTAGTACAAATTATTCTGAACAAGTTACATCTGATTCATAAATTGTTTTTTGACTTCAAGTTGGTGACAACACCATTAATTGAAGGTAATACTTTTGGTTGACATATGATTTCAAACTCTAATTAGTGGCTGAAAAATGCTAAAGTTGTGTTTGGATAAATGAAACACCATTATAAACAATCTATATTAATTCATTTTGCATAAGTTCCCAACTAGTTGTTAAATAGTCTTTTGAGAAATTTCTTTGTTAACACAACTAAAATGAAAAAAAAAAAAAAACAGAAATATCTGCATGTTTTATGTACCCTAATGTGAAAGATTGTTCATTGCCCCTTAAATAAAATGCCTTCATATACTGAACAGCACACATTAGTTAGGTAAGAGGCACTTCTATCTGAAATTACAGACCACAAAAATGCAAATTACCAAAGGATTATCAACTCTTCTACAGAATTTCTGATCACCAGGGAGTGACCTAATTCTCAGATATTTAAAGTTTTCAAAACTTGCCCGCACAATTTACGGGGCAAATTCCTTACGAAAATCCAGATTTGTGAATGGGGCAATGCTTAGCATAAATAATGCTAACAGGGATCAACAAGGGTAAGCCAAGGGAGGGGGGGGAACAGGCCATGCTCCCCCAAAAACAATGAGGGATTTTTTTTCTTTGTCGAATATAAAAAGGGATGGCTTTTTTGGCTGCATTCCATTTCTCCTTTTACCAAAGCATGTAAATATTCCCCAAATGTAGCCTCACCCCAGAAAGGCCATAAAAGGTTAAATTAACAAACCAAATAGTTCCCTCCCCTCAAACAAATGGTGCTAGATTCACCCTTGGGGTTCAGGTTCCTTAATTCACATGAACAGTCTGTTTCTCTCTTTGGTTTGCTGACATGCATTGCAACTGAGCAAGATATCTCTCCATTCACCCTTATGACCCTGATTCATCATTTTATTCAATAATGACCCACAGAGCCAATGTACAGTTTATATGCAGTTACCAATCTATTCTGCGTGGAACGCAACCACATTACATTTCACACAAACACTCTGCGCAGCGGTGTAACATACATGGGTACTCACTTCACTGTTATTTTTCCCAAGCTCCAGAAACCAAGCTCTAATTGGGACTGCATAGAATGTCTTCCATCTGATGCATTTGACTGAGAATTTGCCAATAATCACAACTTAAAAAAATACAGTGATTATAACTTCCTACCTCTGAATGTTGTGAAGCTTTTATCACAGTGATAAAGAAAAAGTATCTACCTATATATTACATGCATCTACCAACCCTACAATGAAAACTAAAACCTCCTTGCCTTAAAATATAGCTTGCTAAATATTGAAACGTAGACATTTTAAGCTTACATTTACAAAATTATATTCAAAATTCTAGACGTCTGGAAGAAACTGTGTTGTATCTATATCTTTTGGTAGAGTTAGCAGTCACCAAGAAGCTACCAAATGGGCAAAATCAGACATTCATTCTTCTACTTAAACTGTCAACATTTCTGATCAGAACTTGAGTGAAGTGTGGTAAGGGCTCCATGCAGGAGCACCCCCTCAACGGGTGACACTTAGACAGGCCAGGTCGACAAATAATTGCCACTGCTAATATTAACCCCTTCAGCACGAAGGATCAGCACATTCTGAGATGAGGTTCACTTGTGTGTCGGGTGTGCACAAGCAATTCAATACTATTTTGAAAGATGGACCCGACTCCTACAAAACATTTTTTTGAGTTCAAAAGAAAAAAATTGAAATTTTTTGAAGTCCCAAAGGAAATAGTCCCAAAGGAAATTAATTAATTCTCCTCCGCCCTAATGGTGCAGTTGGGCCTTTCTTTTAATAAGGTATTTAATTATTTGCAGGAAGAACATGTCCCTCGAGGGACATTGCTGCTCATCGCCCATTCATGCTTTAGACCTACAGAAATTGCCTGTGGAGTTTTGAATTTTGCCTTGGATAAATGCTTTTTTCCCTGTCTCTAAGGAGAGGGATATAGCGAATTAGGGTTTAATTAAATTCCCTGGATAAAATGTGACCCGACGTGACAAAATGAGAGTAAAGTTGCATCCTGCTCTTTGCTATTTTGAGGGTTCAAACTCAAATATTGAAGTGGAGTTTGGCGTTATGTAATACTTGGAAAGGTAACCTGTCTCCTATTTAATTCCAAATATATTGCAGGATCACAGATTTCAAATTTTCATTTTCACAGCAATTTTGATGATAGTATTATTCGTGCCTGGTCTGAAATGTTGAAACAATGTTGGGAACAAAGACGCGAAGCTGCCAAAAGAATGTCACATTGTCTCCTTATATTTTTACCTTAGCTGTTCCATGTACGTACCATTGGAGAGCTGTCTTTCAGCCAATATCTCAATTTTTGAAAATTCTGACTTTCGGCTCATTGTCGTCACAGGTCACAAATTTGACCTGTTGAAAAATGATGTTTCTGGCAGTGTGCAGGCATTTGTGACAAGCACTTTCACAGCTGTGTCTGATGCTTAATGTTGCATCTTAATGATGCTCCTAAAGATACAAGAATGCTCTGAAAATACCGACCTCTTGGTGACCCTTGACCTGACCTCTGACCTGCAGCCCCCAGCCTTCCGATCTACCTCTACACTGTCCACTGCTTGATGCACTTGTCGTGCCCTGCGGACACAATGGTGGTGTTGTCTCGCCATGCAACTTTAGTTATGATCGTCTTTGGATGGGCACCTGGATTGAGAAGAAATTAGGGGCAGAGATGATTCCCATATGCAGCTGAATAGCACTGTTTTTCTGGTCTTGTTAGTACAAATGCCAATGCAGTGTTCCAAATGAACATGTAATCATGTATTTTTTCAGAGGGAGTTTCTTCAAAAGATAATTTCATGATGAAAAGACATGAAAACTGAATGTTTATTAGTGAACAAATATGACAAACCAGATGTAAAAAAAAAAAATTCAAACGAAAACAAAATACAAAAAACACTACACACCCCATCAATTGCTGTTGGCCAATACAGTACATTAGTAGTATAGTCAAATGGTACACAGAACAAATTCAAGGAAAACATGGAACCTGACACAGTTGCACTGTCGGCATTTTAACTGTGTATCTCAGAAAGAATATCGGAATTTGCTCCCGAACAGAAAGGGTCCGGCCTTTCTGTTCGGGAGCAAATTCCGATATAAAGCATAAATTTGGAAGGTACGTCAATTCAAAGAGAAGTTTGAAATGTCCTGTTTTTGCCCTTTTCCGATGGCATTTAGTAGCATTGAATACTCGGCCCTGTCCAACCAGCCCCAGTTGAAGAGCACCCTCAGTAACAGTGAATCAATAAGTTAATGAGAAGTTTGTTTCAACCCAACGCAGACATGTGCCCGGCATGCACAAGAAGACCGTGCATGCTCAGTGTGGCCTGGCCACATGTGCATGAACCTGAATGTGTACACAGTTGAGTTCCCACTGAAGAAGTGTCTTGGCCATGTAAAAAAACAAACAAAAAAACACCCTCTATTGTTCCCGCTCAGAGTGGATAGCTTGGGTGGAAAAAAAGCTCTTATCTGTCAGATGGCAGTGAGCCAAACAGTAATTTTACACTCTTGTCAGAACCCGGGATAAAAATCATGCCAGAGATATTACCCAAGATCATGTTGCTTCCACGCAAGGTGTCCAATGCCCACACTCCAACAGAGCCATCAACTCCTACAGAGGCAAAGCGTTTGCTATCTGGGCTCCAAGACAGAGAGTTGATACGGGCACTGTGGCCTGACCAGAAGTTTTCAACCGGCTGAAAAAAAAAAACCAAACAAACATTCCGAACACACTGATATACAAAAGGCCTCTCCTCTGATTTTTTTTCTCCCCAAAATCGAACACGAGGTGCAAAACAAAGTCTGCCAGGCACGGTTGACTCACCTGAAATTCCTGGACTTTGAACAGGAGGACTTTCTTGCCGGAGCTGGCAGCAAGGTGCAATCCATCTGGGGAAAACTGCAGAGCACAGACAGGCTCGTTTGTGGTCAGCTGATCAACCTCCTTGAGCTTTTCCTCTGCCACATCGTAGATGTGTATCTTGCTGTCCTGCGAGTTAAGTAAGTCATGTCCCAACATTAACCAGCAAAATCAAACAAAAACCCGAAAAAGGTTCTAGGGTTTCTCAAGTAGTCCAATTAGCACAGGAAATATTGTTTCAATTTGCAGATGGGGAGCACCAAATTGTGTCAGTGTTGAATCGACTTGGATTTCCTAAGGAAAAAAGCTTGACACACAGGTTTTTCAACCTTCCCCCCACGTGTTTCAGAGGAAAATTAATAGCTGCGCATGTCCCATTTTTAGGGTCATTTGCATGCGTAATGAGGGCCATGGGAATTCGTGCCAAGCAAACAGCTGCTTCCTTTCATGAAATTTACATCTTATTTTCACTTTTGGGAAATAAAAAATTCCTGCCCAAAATATTTTCATAGTAAGATAAGGCCTTTTCCTAACGTGTTTTGTGAACATGAAATTAAGAAATAGTACCAGAGTGGTCAATACTAGTAATTTTTGTGGAAAGCTCTTTTCCTAAGCGGTTTGTTTACGTTTTGATGTGATTTTTGAAGGCTCAAATCAAAGAATTCAAAGTTTTCCTGAAGTTTTCAGGTTTCAGGTTTCAGGTCTCAGACTTTTCAGGTTTCAGACTTTTTTTTCTTCCCGACCGGACGATATATCGACCAAACTCAGTACTGATTCCTTTCATCCCACATAATCTTACAGCCTTGCGAGCAAAGGAATTCAGTGACTCAGGAACGAAAGACGAACACGAAAGTACAATAGGTCAACATGAAGTTTATTATTGAAACCGAGGTCTATCTGACATTATAAAATTGCCTGGAAAATGTTGAAAATCAAGGTATATAGGTCTATCCCCAGTTTTACATGTACTCTACACGCATGAACCACATAAATATGTACACTGGCCGCGGTACAGGTGTGAGGCCGCAGTGTACCGTGCATGGTAGATCAGTTTGTGCATGTAAAACACATATAGATCGCGCTGTGCAGAGGTATCAAACATAACTCATAACTCTAGCTACATAGAACTGATTGTATTGTGTAGTTGAGATTCTAGCCTGCCATATGCAGTGTCTCACTGTTCTGGGAAAACTTCTCAAATCGAGAAATTTAGCAGGAAAAAAGACCAAGTGAACGATTGAAAAATGGAAATAATTTATCATCTTAGCAACCACTTTGAGGCTAAATTTCATATTTATGTAGCATTTCTTTTCATGATTTTGTGGTGTTTTATTCAGTTTAAGCCCTCTTGAGCACATACAGAGTTTCAATGTGATTGTTTGTTGACTTTGTGCAAAACGAGAAGGCTCAACAGAGGATTGGCAATTTGCTAAGGACATTTCTGTATGGTCCACGAGGGTCCGATCATGTAACTGCCGTGTATGGTCGAAGTCGTTCATTTCCACACGTTGAATGGGGGTGAAACATACATGCCCCAGATAGGATAGGACTTAAACCAACAACACAGATTTTGGCCAGACCAGGAAAAAAAATTCAGCGATAAGAAATTAAAAGATCTGCATTTCTGGTTTGTTCTTGGCCAAGGTAAGTTGGGAAGGATGAGAAAGAAATTTTTATATGCATAAGACTCTTAAAGTCAATGACATTTACTTACTTCAACTTGGGACCCTCATGCAGCAATTAAAGTATACTAATAAATTACCTAAAAATATCTGTTCCATGTTTATAAAAACCAAAGATGTCCACAATCACAGTACTAGACAGTGCAACCAGTTTTATCAGTCCTTTGCTCGTACCACATTGACACAAAAAACAGTCAAGCATGAGGGTCCAAAGCTATGGAGTACCCTGGATGACTCATTACGAAATATTCATAATCCTTCCCTATTCAAACGTAAATATAAGGCCAAGCTATTAGATGGTTACTTGAATACAAATTAGTCCAATGTTTTAATTAATCTCTTTTATTTCACAGGGTTACTAGTCCTAATTTTATGTCATTTTGTGTAGTCCATTGTTAATCTGTTGTGTATTATTGTGATATGTGATTCAATTCGTATGTTCAACTACTTGTATGTACTCGGAGTTCCCTTCCCGACAAGCTTTGCTTTTAAGGGACTCCGTCCACATTTATGTAGCCTTAATCTGTCTGTATGTATAACCAATTATGTGGAAAATAAATGAATGAATGAATGAATGAAAATCTGACAGATACTGTATACTTACACTCCCACCAATAGCTAAGTAGCTTCCTTCAGGGCTCAGATGGGCTGATTTAGCTTCATAGCGAATGGCGTCCGAGTCAACTTTGTTGTGTGCCTTGAACAAGCAAAGCTGCAGAGGGTTACAGAGAACAAGTGGCTGTCAAGCCAGTGCACTGTCGTAATCCCCAACTCGGATGAAAGAGGAGACTGAAGTTTTCAATAACGTTTTCATGAAATCATACTATCAAAATGTCCCAGAATGCTATTAGTGCTAAGAATAACCAGGCCTTTTTACCCAACCACAGGTGGCCAAGAGTGCCCATTATTAATAAAAGAGGGTGTCACTGCTGATTTAGAAACATGTAATTAATAATGATTTCTGAACATAGTGATTAAGATCTGCGGACAGAATTTTTTTCGCTGCAAATTGGAATATTGTTTGTATCATGTGCATATACAGTGGGTACTTATTCAAGTTGGGAAAAAAGTGGACAAGCGACAAGGGTGTCTGTCACTGACAATTTCTAGGAAAGTGTAGAATCACTGCTATGGCTCGCAGTGTAGTAGCAGAGTACATTTCCACGAGTGCAAGTACCATAACCCTGCCGGCTCTGTGTCATTATTCAAAAGGTGCAATCAGATGTCAAAGTGTGAAAACTTATGCCAAAAATCCGACCAAATTTGTGCATACCCATTTCAAATGCTGAAAGTTTACATATCCCTTGTCTGGGTAGTGAGTATTTACAGGTGGCCCAAAATTACGCATGCCTGTTCATTTCCCATTCATCACTGCAGCTGGTCTACAAGAAACAGCTACTGAAATCCCCTAGGTTCTGAAAAATTTGCAGCTTTGGGGACAACGCTGAAACTTACGTCTTGAAGTGTTCCAGCCACTATAAGATCCCCCTTTGAGGTCACACATTGTGGCTGGCTGTCCAATCCAATGACTTCGTCACTGTAATCAGCACATCAGAAAACAAGTCACTTCATGATATTCAGAACGTGGGGATTTTTGGGCACTTTGCATTAACCGGGTCAGGGCGTTTCAGCCTGTGCTCAAATCAGCAATTGTGCGTCACATACATGTGTCTATGTGCATTCTTTATCACTAATAACTGGGGAAAGTAAAATCTCATCTTTACAGTGCAAATAGTTTTCTTTAAATTGTGTATCTATAAAGGATTTTGGACAGCACACTATTGAACAGCTAAGCTCCAGTACAGCAGAATGACCATCATCCTCTAAGGGAAGTTGCCATGGCAACACCTTGACAGAAAGTATTGATGAATGCAGTAAGATATTTGCAACATATTTTAATTTGGCATTTCAAGACTGACGGATTTGTTGGTGACGTTGATCCTTCCGGTGCGAATACTCACGTGAACTCCTTCTTTATTGTGTCAATGAATCGAATTTTATCATCCATTCCCACTGTGACCAGGGTGTCGCCGTTGGTGCTCATATCCATCAACATGTTGGTGTGAGACTTTCCTGTGGTAGCCTCGCATTCGCTGGTCTCCGCATTCCAGCACAGTGATTACAAGTCAAGGGAAAAAATGAAAAACTTAAAAAAAAAACCGGATGAACTGAAAAATGAAACAACAATGCTGCTTGTGAACTATCAACAGTGCCGTGATGGATCATTAAACCAACAAGAGATCAAGGCCCTGGTTTCTGACTGCGTACTTGATGCATGTTGTGTCAAAACCGGACATCTGTGGGCATAGATCTGGCTGTGTGTCACCAACAACTTCTCATTGGCATGAATTTGCCACAGACACTCCATTTTCAAAATATTCTACCGTGACTGTAAAGAGAAGAACCAAGGCAGAGCAGGAAACAGTTTTTGACCAGGTACCTAGGAGGTCCTGATTTTTAGATGTGCCAGACAGGAAGTGTGTACAATGAAATTGTAAAGGATTGAGAAGTAGACCATGGATATGCATACAGAGTGCAACAAGAATGCACCAGTGGAAAGGTGGTTTTACGATAACGTGCCTGTGTGGAACACGCTCAAATCAGGTTACATCTAGATCTTACGTGTAAAGCTCGGTTCAGGTTTTTGCTGATTGCGAGTACCCGATAAGCACATATTGTAAAGGGATATAGTTGTTGCTCTGAAAGATCACTTCAAACACTGCCACAGTGCACTTGCCCAACTCGTCAATACTGCCACATGGTAAACAACTGACATAACGATATGACTGTTCCAACTCGGACCAGATATTTCTTTACGAACCTCGTAAGCATTTTGAGTTTGTTCGAAATGTTCAATCCCAAGTTTCAACTGGGAGCAATGATTTCTCAGAGCTGCACTCTAGATATTTTGAAGCAATACTACTCTCTGACAAAGAAGATACACCAAAAGACATTCTCACGAAGACCCAACTTTGCTGAACCATTTTGGCGGGTTTTTTGTTTTAGCTTATTCGGTATAACTCCCCTGGTTCTCTCCAAACTGAGCACTCCAAGGTAAACATGAGTTAAAATTCTGCCATCAGAGTTTTGTTCACTTCATAACAGCAATGCTATAAAGATGACAGACTATGCTTTTCAAAGGATATTAACATTACAATCGATGTCAGCCGAGTAGATGCAGGATGCGTCGCTTGACAGAGCAAACGTTGAGATGTTTTTGTTGTGGCCCTAAAGTCAGCAAAGACAAGTTGTAAACAACAGTCAAGCAATTTTTTTTACAACATAACTTGGCATGGCTACCAATAAAATGAACACTATCATTATTGGAGGTTGTCAGTTAGACTGCTATGAATGCTAAGACAATAAAAAGAAGTCTTTAGGGGCAAGGGATGTTACAGTTGGACAGAATGGGGCATGGAAAGGGCCAGGCAGACACAAGATGAAATGAATTTTAACCAAGACGGGTGCTAAGTCAGTGAGCCCCCCATGCAGTTAAAGCTAAAGATGTGACCAGGATCAGCATGAAACCATTCTCCCTCCAAATTTCATGTCAAAAAGTCTGATTGAGCAGATTCGTAATTTCTATTTCTATCAAACTACCTTGACAAACCAAAATCTTTGAGTTATGACAGGATAACTATCTCTGCTGTTTTAACCACGGGCCTCAGTCCTCGACCTACGAGGTCCAAAACCAATGCGCTTCTAGAAATCCAAGCTACAATCCATGCATCAATTTTGAATTTAGTACCCCGTGACGTGCTCAAGTTCTGCTGAGAAATTGAGAGCTCGCATGCATATTTGCAAGCATGTCATTGTCTGTAACTATGAGGACCCATTTGCAAAGGTACTGCACAATAGCTACCGAGGACACGAAATGTTGTAGAGACATTACAACTCCCCAGGTCAGTTTCAATCAAGGTGCATTAACACACTAGTCACACAACTGTGAGAACCACATAAGTATATTTCTATAACATGGTACCAGCCAGCCCCTCCCACACACATACAGAAGGCGTTGTCTTTCTGAAAGAGCAAAAGACATAGTATGACCAGATGACTTTGCTGGTGGGACGGAAGGGCATGAAAAATCCAGACTGTAGCACCTTTACGATCCGCCAGGGTTTGTCCGGGTTATTTTTGTCCAAGTAGTTGATATAACCCGAGAGGGAGGCAGACAAGATGTAATCTCCCTGCCACAGGATAGACAATTGCTGATCCTGTATGGTGTCTCCCAACTTGAAAGTCCTGCAAAACAAAAACAACCAAAAAGTGTACCAGTGTTTTGCACTGCGTAAAGACCACTGACACACAAATGCACAGACAACCAGTTTGCATTAAAATTACATGAACATTTTGTGATCCAGATTCAAAACAATGCAGTGTCCGCATTTGAAACAAAGAGATAGAAAGATCAAACCACAAGTTAACACACTTTTGAAAACACATGTATACAACTACAGACACTGCAAGAGTTCTATGCGTAATGCGCACAGAACGCAATTATTACACATGCTGCCTTTCATCATTTGGGCCATACTTTTCAAAATCACAGAAGACTGGCACTCTACGCATTTATATATCTGTGATTAAGACAGAACTTTGGCCAGAGGGGTGACACATCATTTGGCCACCCTGTGAGCCATTTTGTGAACCATTTTTTTGTTAAACAGATTAACCACATGTATGTAAAAGCAGAAAGCCTGAATGGCTGGGACACCCAATTTTTCACTCCAAGGCAAATGTAATAACCGATGCAGGCTAAAGTCCTGACAGAGGCAGCAGACTTCTGTTAGAAAGACCGAGGGGGAGGGAAACTGGATAATCTGCAAAATCCTAGTGACATAATGTAATCCACCAATTTTTAGTCAAACCCTGAAGGTGTTGAGGTGTACGTCTAACCCAGGATCAAGACTCCTGCTCCCATGTGAACAAATTGAAAAAGTCGACCTCATCTCGCCAAATCCTCGGGGAATGATTATTCCGGAGAAACCTTTTCTGGACAGCAGAATGAAATCTCAGTGAAAATTGCTTACGTGATAACCTGATGGGTTTCAACATCCCACATTTTGACAGTCTTGTCAGCAGATGCAGAGAGGAGTCGTGTACTGTCGGGACTAAAGCACACCTATAAACCCAAAAAAATGCGGTTAACCTCAGGTAGCCACAGATATGGTCTTTCAGATTTTCCACAGCCACGATGGAAAAAATTCTAATGCTATCAAATGTGTCTTTTTTTCTGACTGCAACGTCTGCTGCGGCCCATTACAAACACTCTGTGCAATATTTGCATGTCTGCAAAAATCCTAAGGATTAAACTATTGTGTTTGAATATTCAACCGTGCTTTGGATATTCATCAGCATGCTATCATCACAAACAACCCCTGGGGGTCCAGAACATGATCAACTGAACTACATATAAAACAAGATGTCTTGACAAACCCTCCCCAGGCAAGTTGGTGATATTTGAGTACTCAGTGCACGCTCACCGAATATACACCACCCACATGGGCTCTGGCACCATCCTTCAGCTCTACCACCAGATCACCTTCCTTTCCAGTATACATAAACACCTGCAAAAAAGACAGGAAGAAGCTTATGTCGGAACTAACATTAATAATAAATCAATTGAGCGCACTGACGAATCGACTTGATCTAAGGTAACAAGCTTTTGTCGTAATTATCGTGTATAAATTAAAAAGATACGTGTACCAAAACTGAGAAACGTAGCGCAACAAATCTAAAATATAATTTGTCTGTGGTTTAATGCTTTTCTTCAGTGTTCGAAAAGTGTTTCACACCTCTGGTGGGTTAAATGTATTGAAGAGTGCAGTTTTAACATTTAAAATTATCCATGTTTTCTTGGATAACTGAGGGCACAGGGAAGACGTGGTCCAGTGCAAAGGTCTTCTATTCAAATTGTGAACTGCTAATTTACTCACTGAAAACATATCTGATCTTTGTGGAGTGTCAACCCCTGTGTTCACTACCACATTATCCACACATGTGAATGGATGCACGAGTCAACTGTTGCACATCTTTACTGAAGTGCCTCAAGTGTGTCTGGTAGATGATGATTTGCTTTCTGTACACCAACCCCCGTAACCTTGATCCTAAGCCCCAGGCTTACGTTTTTTTCACCAATTTCGTCCATTCCAACCAATATCTGCGACCTACCTTTTGATCGGAGCTACCCGTAGCAAAGAAATTGCCATCGGGGGAGAATCGAGTTGTGTTCACAAATTTTGAGTGTTCCTATGGAGAGAGAAGAGCAAGGGAGAAAGAAAAGTGTGACAGAACAAAGGCAGGTTAAATATTTACTTCAGACTAGAGGTAGGTTTATTGTAAGTGGTAAACCAAGGCTTTTAGAAGCCATTAATTAGGTTGAGCACTAAGAATAGGTAACTTTACCGGTGTTGCACAAATGACTGAAGTTGAAGTCAAGTGTTGGCATGTTGTTGACTTTCATCACCTTACGACATTTTCAGTAATGTACGGGCATGTTCACTGATTAACTACAGTTCAACTGACATCACTCACAAGATGTACAGTTGGACTGTCTTAGTTGATAATTGGGAACCAGCCCTGAGGTATAATTGGCACCTCTTTTTTTTAAAATATTTTTTCAAAAATGCTTTTTCTGGGACTCTTTTTATTTATTATTCTTTTCCTTTTTTTACAGAAATCGGAACGTTCTGACTTTGAGGCCTTTGAATACTCGATAATTGGAATTGCAGCCAGGCATGAATCTTGTATGTAAACATTCACACAGGAAGAACTCAAAAACAAATCTGGCTGGACAAATTTGCTTTGTAAGTTCCTTCATCTGAGAGCTCTCTCTACATTCCGTGTAAGGCAGACATGGTTCAATGTGGACTTACTCTCAGGTCCTTTGAATATTTGAAAGGTGGCCCTTCATAAAATGTCGTGGCCCCATCTTCTGAAGCAAGCACAATGCGGAACGGACGGGTGGGCCTGTAGTCTACTGCGTTGCAGTGTTTGGTGGATGCGTCAATCTTACCAACAGTACTGCCAGTATCCCACAGGAACACCGAAGCAAACCTAGATGGTAGTTGAAAAGACGGACAATGTGACTACATCTGTATAACATGACACACCTGTTTGATGTATGCCAGCCTCATGTTGTACAACTCACAGCCTCAAAGTTCTCTTTGACTTCCACAAGCAACTAGGGGGGGGTTCACAAAAATCCTAAACTTGCATAACTATGAAAATGCAAACTTATTTAGCAGGTCTGTGTTTCAAGGACTCACTCACTTGGCGCAAAAGTAGAAAACAAAACATATCAGAAACGTTTTGAAAATTGTGGAAAAATTCACAAATGAAAGGTGCGATTGCATACCCAAAAGCTGCTTAGAATTTTAAATTGAGTTTTTTGCCTTTCCCAGACATCTTACTTTAACCTTAATTCTGCCAGGCACAGCACAATGCAACAGGTGGAAAAATCTGAGGCACTTTGACGCACTGGGCAGTCAACAGTAGCTGAAAAAAATTGCTGATGTTGAGACAATAGAAGCTAGTTAGTCCCATTGAACAATGCCACTGTTGGATCTTGTAGTGAATGGCAACCACAGACTCCAAGGCTGTTTGGCTTTGGGGAGAGTTGACCTGGTGGATCCCGTTACACTGGGCAGGCAAGCCATTTTGACAAATGATGCAGGCTGATGTGTCTGGCAGGATGTCTAGCTTAAATATCAAAGAGGGTTAGGGTTAAGGACTTGTTGGTTGTTTTGAAAGGTACAAGAAACGTTTAGTTTATTATCTAATTAGTATTTGTTTGTATTCATTTTATCTCTATCCGGTTTGTAAGTGGGTTTGTAAGTGGGTTTGTAAGTGACTTTGTCACACACGCGAATGCGCCAGGATTTGCAGGCTCCCACTGGACGGAGTTAACTTCCGGTTCCATGTAAGCAGTGATCAATGCAAGTAACTGTATGTGCAGTGTACATGCAGTGGGCGTGGCTTAAACTGAAGTGACTTCACACTTACGAACTGGATACTGGGTGACATATTCAGTCTTGCTTTCAGGACTGGGTCCCAGTAGGAGTAATACAATAAAACACAATTGGAACATTCCAAAATTGAACTTTAAGTCCACTTTGTGTATTCTCTTTACACAGTATGAAACAAACGTCATCTAATATTGCAGAACGTTAAGAACGTGCTATTCATTTCGCTTTCAAAATTAAACATAAACATTAGCCAAATGTTAAGTTAAAACAAAGTTGACGAGAATGATTAACTCACTTCTCGTGTCCCTCTCCACACACTGCAATCCTCTTACTGTCAGGGGACCAGGCAATGTCATTGATTTTTCCCGAGATTGGCTGGTACTCGTACTTTAGTATATGCTCCTTTTGTGTGGTATCCCAGATCCTTAGTTTACCTGTAACATCTAAAACAAGAGAAAACACAAACACACGTCATAATTACTTGCCTGCAAGTGGGACCCACTAAGGCTCATCTTTTGTCCATACTTCAGTGTTTTTGGAAGACCTCCCATATGTTTGAATCAGAGACCCTATTATCCTCTATCTGCCTTGAGCAGAAAACCCCCTCATCGGTTGAAAAGAGCTACATGGGTCAGAAGTTCAATAATGTTGATAGCTATGTGACCATGAGGCGTGCATTTCCTCCTTGTTCATGAACCAGCGAAGTTCAGTTCCGACCAAAGGTGCCTCGGTTGCTAAGAAAATAGCATCCGCTCTGGGCCCACCTTGAGGTCAATTATTCAGGGTCTCCAATTGATTACAAAACTTTGATATGGTGGTTTGAGAGTGGAAGAAGTTTTTACCTAAATTTAAATCAGACAATGTATAAATGGGAACGACAGTTGGTGACAATTTCACACAGGATGTGTATGATCTTCCAGTAAGTATTCCTAGGGGTTGCAGTCAAAAGTCAGTTAACTCAAAAGTCCACTTATCTCAAAGACATTCTTCATTCCTGCCCAAAGGATAGGCTTTTATGTACAAAAATACCTCCATAACTCAAAATGCCCACACCACTACATTCACTTAACTCAACGTTTTTGAAGGGCTGGTATATAAAAAGACCACCATCAAAATACTGACAATGAATAGAAAAAGAACGTGGAGACTTCAAACTGCACAACATCTCTTTGCGTAATGTGATAAACTCATTGCAAGCAAGCCTGATTGCTATCGCATGCCGTCCAATTGTTGATTCTTTATGGTGGCCATGTGACCGCACTGCAGGAAGCTTTGTGCGTGCAGTGGCTAAAGCCTGGCTGCTGCCACCTACATGAGCAATTGAAAAGGAATGATCATATGGACAACCTAAACTTGACCGACAAACTTTTCTATTTAAAAAAAAAAAATCCTAAATTTTTATTAAGCCGAGGCCAGTTTTCACCCCAGCGTGTGACTTCGTAACAGTCGTACCCTTTTGTTCTTAAGGCTCATCAATGGACCAAATATACATCTGTAGTGTTTGAATTTTTCACAGTCCTGTTTCTTTAAATCAAAGATTGGATTTAGCATACTCTGTTCTTGTGAAACAATTGGTAATGGGGATGCACTTGTAAAGGACATAACCTTTAGAAATAAATGAATATGGTACCCTGTTCTGCATGTCAAAATAAAGTACACAGCAAAATGCCCATGGCTGGTTACCAGCTGGGTAAGCAGAGCAACACTCACACTTCAAACAAAACAAGGTAAAAAAATATGCCAATGTTAAAACAACTAATGTCCATACCTCCAGATGCTATATAAAAACCACTAGGAGCATACTTGGCCACTGATGTCTGGGCACTGTGCTCGCAATAAATGTCACAGATTGCAGGATTCTGTCAAGGAAAATAAATTACAAGTTATTCAAATAATCAATCAGTAACAGATAAGCAATTCAGTTAAGGTCATAGTTGAAAGGTGAGAGGGGTCTAAAAAGGACCACGGCTCCCCAACAGAGCCCCCTCCCTTTTCAAATACTGAAGGCAATTATTTTTGGGGTAAGGAGGGTCTGTTTCATTTCCCCTCTTTCCAAAACTTAGTAAAAAGCTCAGACATGTAGCTTTGTCCATCAAAAAGGACATAAAAGGATATGTGGAGAAATTTACTAGTCTTCTTAGCTCCCCCTAAACAAAATGTGGTTTGGGATCCATCCATAATTCTGGTCAGATATGGGCAAATCATGGCAACACACTGCACAGCAATGTGAGAATGCCAAGCCTGATTACACTTCTGGCATATTCGTTCCTGCTGTTTGTTATCTGCCCTTCACTCGTTGACCTTTGATGACCCCCACAAGTAAGTCTCCCCTCCTTCACCCTTGGGGAGGATGGCAGTCCATCGCATATTGCATCAAGGAACCACGCAAACAAGAACCACCAAATTACTCTTTTGCAATGCCTGTATGTCAACTTTTTTCCATGATGCATTGTGGTCAAAGCGCATCTTACACAATCAGTAGCATCGTTTGTGGGACTTAGGCACCCAAAATGTCCATTCATAAGTATCTACTGGTAAAACAAGCACACAAACATGTAAAAGAAATAGATGTGGAAATGTCACAGCGAATGCACATGTCTTTGTGTATTTTGTTTTGTTTTACCAGGGTAACCCCATGAGTCATCAACGAACTGTCTTCCCTGTGGGCCCTACACACATGTAGGTTAATGTACATGTATATGACATTGATTTGAATGAAACAGGGAAATGTACATTTCCCCGTATCATTCAAATCAACGCCCTTTTCCAAATCTTCTGTTGCTCCCTTAATATGGCTTCATATCTGGTTTCCTTTAAAATTTTCACTGTTGGAACCAAATGAAAACACATAGGCTCATCTCATGAGACCATTTTTTGTGAGGCAAAATTAAGGTTTCAATGCAAAGGTGTGGAAAATCTTGTCATGACAGTCTGGACAGCTAAAAAAACAAGGCTGTGAGAAATTAGAAATTAACCCTAAGCATGCTAAACCCAACAGCACCCAATAGGGTTTTTAAGTTGTCTGCTGCATTCTGTGAGGAAAGTCTTACTGTTTTAATTTTGAAAATCTTGGAAAATAGCCCACCTCAATATCTCGGATGAAGACATTGACATCATGCGTACACAGGAAGTTCTTTCCCTTTGGATCACCGCCGAGATTGAATGCACGAGCACGCTCTGTTCTGGGTAGACTGGCAAAGACACTCTCTGAAAAAAAACCCAAAGTTTGCAACTTTACAATATGACAAAACCTTGCATTTCATTTACTCTCATCTGGAAAAGAGTTCCATACATGCACATCACTGAATCTTCCCTGCAGTGGTGCATATCAGCGATCAGAAAGTGATAACATGTCCTAAAAAGTCTAATTTAGCAGGGAAAATATTGAAGCATTTATTTAGAAAGCACTTGGAATTTTGGAGACCACTCTCATAGGATTTCTGTATAGGGCGTCAAGAGGAATTCCATTCAATGAATGCATGTACACGCACAGCAGATAATGTCTGTCTTACCTCCAACTGCTCAACCAAACTTCATGTAATTGTGTTACTTGACTTACATCACGTTACTGTTTAACTTGTGCACTTCTCTTTTCTTTCCAAACAAAAACCCTCCAAATCAAGAGGAAATGCAAGTGTGGATTCAAAGGGGAGGGGGTCAAACCTCTCCCCTGCTCTAAGACAAAAAAAGTATAAAAATGGGGAGTATAAAGAAAAAAAAACTAAAGTAGGTGCATCAATAACATCATAAACAATGTATATCATGTGTAATGTTTCATCATCGTTTCCACTTGTCTGCAAAAATCAGACATTTAAAACATCTCTGGCCTGACCTCTCCCACCCCCCCAAGAAAAATTCTTGGATTCTCCCCTCAAATGTACTGACAGATCTTGGACAGTGAAAGCACCAGTTCGATAATCCAACACACCTAGCATGGAAGGTTGATAGCCCCAGCCTAATGCTCAGTGCTCTCTAAAATGTTTCCCGACGGTGGTTAGCCCCACTGTGTGGCACGGACTCTGACTCCCGCTCCATCCTTAGCCACCCATCCATATAAGCAATTTCGTGTCGGCGGACTGAAAATTTCGGCGCACCCACTTATCATCGTGGGCGCAATTTCTTTTGCACACCGACATGACCCTTAGCCTCTCCGCTTCTTAGTGCCATTTATTGAATGATTTCATTCACGTTTTTCTGGTATTTTCCAGTCTTTTTGCCTTCACCCATGCAATCTCACGGGCTCGCTCTCACAGTCGCCATTTTTAAAATAAGGTCGTTGAACATTACGTCACTTGACCCCTAATCTTCTCAACGGCTGTTCCATGTCAAGACATAACTAAAACACAGACTGAGCAATAAGATACTACATGTACCAATGGGCTCTTCCAAAACTTGGGCAGCAGTTTAGACATGTCTTGACATGGAACAGCCGTCGAGACGATGAGGGGTCAAGTGACGTAATGTTCAACGACCTTATTTTAAAGATGGCGACTGTGAGAGCGAGCCTGTGAGATTGAATGGGTGAAGGCAAAAAGACTGGAAAATACCAGAACAATGTGAGTGAAATCATTCAATAAATGGCACTAAGAAAGCGGAGAGGCTAAGGATCATCTATGTTTGCAAAAAAAATTGCGCCTACGATTATAGGACGAGCCCGTCCCCAAGAGTCATATTTAGCACTAGTAGGGAAATCATCTGACTCGGAATCATTTTAGGCAAAGACCTATCAATTATCATGCCTATTTAGCATGTTTAACACAGGCACGGTCATGACAGTCCACAGGTCATGACAGTGGACAGGGCATGCAGGGCTTTCCAAACCTGCTGATAGAATTTGAAGGATTTGGATTTGTTATCATTAATAGGCCTACTATAGGAAGCATGATAAGGGGGACGTACCCACCACATTCGAGTAAGCTAGCCACCACGCACCTGCAACTTAAAAAATCCCATAGTGGAGGTTGTTGCAGTACTTAGAAAGGGAAAAAAGGTTGGGATCTTGGGATAGTGGCAGCCGATCTGATGGGCCCGTCTGCCAAACACAAGTACACTGTTCGCTGGCTTTTCTGTCGTCTGGTTGTGCACACGTTTAGTAATGACAGCACGGCCAACACTTACTTCCGGGATGTGATGCTAGAACCTTTTTTATAGCTCCATGCTAGAACAATCCACTGATAGCTATCAAAATCTCACATCAGAATCAAAATGGCACAAATGAAACTCCATATTACTTACTTCTCTCGTAAGCGAGCGGCATCTTTGCACTATGATTCTTTACAGCTCGAATGAATGAAAATCCGTCAAGTTGAGATTTGCTGTACAGTCACACAAATTGCTTGCAGAATGCATGCACGTCGTGTGTTCCATGATCCAGTGCAGTACATGTACACGTACGTACATGTACAGTGTACATGCCGCCCTTTTTGCACGCTACGCGTAATCGCCATGCCTGCTGCGCACGCGAGGAGGAAGGAAGAGTTGGGAACCAGACTCGTAGCCTCTGTTTCATTGGGAACGAGGCTTCGATCTCCAAATATGGACGCCAGTCAAATGCCAATGTCCATAAAAGGAAAGCCGGACAGGTGGCCACGCCTCCTGTGGCGCGCTTATTTGACTTCGTCATCTATCTCTCTGGATTAATAGAGATAAACAATTTACCTATGCAGTCTTTGGGATTGCGGGGGGTGCCGTTCCTTTTAGTTTAACTTAATTTGTATTATAATGATGGAGGTGGGTAGGATGTCACATCACACACTTACACTTGAATAAAAAAGTTCGGGTAGTGACAACACTTTGCATTCAGCATTTTAAATATCAAATTCGGCATCTTAAAGTATCAACACTTTCAAGTGTTCATTCAACATCTTCAGAAAGTTTCTCTTGGAATGATTGAATCCACACCGCTGGATTCAACACTTTGAAAGTGTTTTCATGAACTGCACAAAAGCAAGTGTTAGATTTCATACTCCACTTTTGAACCAAGGGCGGATCGGGGGCAGTGAGGAAGGCAATTTTGGAGGTCTGTATCCCTTTACTTCCACGGCAGGAGCATACAAAACCAAACATTTGGCCTGTATACTTCAGGAAAGCCATAAAAGGTCATGAAAATGTCAAATTTTTGCTCCCCTTCAAAGAAAAAAGCTTGCTCCTCAAAATTTTGAGACTCACTTCTTTTTGTGTACGCAGAATTTGAACTCAAGAAAAATTTGGGCTCTCACACAGGCATCCTGAGTCATACGTTTTTAGGGGCGGGGCAAACTTTAGAGGTGCAAAAAATGGAGATTTGTTGAACTTCGTGGTCTTTGTGAAGGGCAAGGCTAAGTTGTTTGGGATTTATAATTGCTACGGGAAGGCAGATGAAATTCCCCAAATCATCCTGCTGTCATTGTATATTTTTGAAATCCGTTTTTTTTTGGGGGGGGGGGAGGTGGGGAGGGGTATTGCTGCACCCTTTACCCGCCTCAAAAATCTCAGTAGCCACTGGTGTTAAAGGTCACTGTACTATGAGTAGGTAATGCATATTAAGGTCAATGATTCATCATCAAAATTTCAAATATCTAAATACACTTAAACAATAAGGTTGAAACATTGTTCACTACTTCCAAAAGTTACCGATTTTCGGATGCTTGTCCTAATGGCATCTGGGTGGAGGTATGTTGCTTTCGATGAGACGAAATGAATTCTGCCATGGAGCATCTAGGAATCCATCATGATTCCACATTGACGCCACGAGGAAACCGCGTTCCGAGGTCACTGGAGGTGTAACGTTACAAGCACTTCTCAACTTGGTCATTCTCTTTTGCTTGATCTTGTTACCAGGTTATGGATACAACACGTGAGTTGAAACATTGGACGTTACGGAGACTAACAACGCCATGGAGAATTATTTTGTCCCCAGAACTTGGTCCCGACCAGGGGCGGATCCAGGATTCAAAAGAAGACGCGTGAAGTTGAACTAAAAAAAAATCAGGGTTGCGGCCGAAAAATTAGGGAGGTTGGGTTCTTCCCCCTCCCTCTTTTGCTTCTCTTTTTATTTATTTTATCATTTTTTTGTTAAAAAAAGGGGGGGCCGTGCGCCCCTCGCCCCTGGATCCGCCCCTGCTGGCTTTCCTTAACCAAAGAAATTGTCCCCTTGACACGATTGAGGGTCAAGCCTCTCCCATAACGCCCACATACGTGTGCTGCAATCTGGGCCCTGGGAACCGGCGCGAATACCAAATTATGGAATGATGCACGTGACTGGAAAAAACAGCTTTGTAGAGAGGGCGCGCTGTCCAAAGCAAGAGAGACGTTGGTTATGTCTGTGGTCCACGTCACTCTTTTTTGTAGCAGGCGCATGTGCTAGACATCCCCGGGCCCCACATCACACAAGCCGCGGGTCATCGTACACCCATTGTGGTGAGCCGTACAGAGCAAGAGAGACTCAGCTGTGAGAGCGTTACTTGTCAGTTAAGTCAGTTCTCATTTGTTTATTTCTTGTGCTTTTCCGGTAAATAAAGAGAGAATTTCTTAGTATTTAAAGGTGACCACGCCCATATTTTTGTTAACACAGTCGGAAGATTTGAGGGGAAAGGTGGCAGAGTTGTGGTGTGTAAAGTTAGGCCTTAGCCTCAAGCTGAAGGGCCCATCTCCCACTCTCAGTCCATAGTTAACAGTACAAACTGCAAGAGGTTGACAAGTTTTCCCCTGTGTAAATGCATTTTATATGGTTTGAAAGGGGGTACTTTCCGGCTGTGCTACTTGGTAGGCATTTTATCTGCTTCTTATTTTCTAGAAATTGCTGAATGAACATTTTTCAAATATTTCTGTTAGGTGCGATCGGTCATTTTTTGCAATCGCTCAATCTTTACTTGACATCTCAATGTTATTGCGCAGTTTGCCTCAAAATCTGCTATCAGCCAATCGCTGTTTTCAAATTTGCGGATGTGGAAGATTGTTTATAAAAGGGAAGTAAAGATGGAGGGTAAGAGTAGCACCTTCCTAATTTCCCCTCAAAGTGGTTTATTAGCCATCAGAAAGTAGTAAGATGTCCCAAATAGCCAACTTTCAGTCTCATAGTGTTTATGAACAGGGTGTGAAGTGATGTCAAGTGTACGGAATTCAGAAAGATGTATAGTTTGTGCCCCCTGTACACACCTATATGAGACTTGTCAGAAAGTGTTTTCTAAGTAAATACTTCCGAAGTTTCTGAGCTAAATTTTACTTTTTAGGATGTCTGATGGCTGTTTAACATTTAAGGGAAAATTAGTGTTGTCCATATATGCAGCTCTTTCCCATTCTAAGCTGAAATTTAATACATATAAATTAATTCATTTTTTCTTTTTTCATCATTGAATACACCATCAATTCATATGTGTTGTCCTATTTTGTCAATGACACAAACTGACTGTATTCTTTTACCAATTTTTAAAGGAAAAGAAGGGCAGTCATTTTTAGAAACAAATCCATTTCCTCCCCTCCCCCTTTGATCTGAGACCTAGATATACCTGCCCACTGGAACACATTGAATGGTACATGTATGCTGTCACACTTTACCAACAATAGAGTTCAGAGTTAATAGGGATCATCTCCATCATTAATTGGGACCAGCGCTCTAGTATGTGAAACATGATCACAAGGTTTACTGCATAAAAATCTTGAAACCAGGAAACTGTTCGCTTTGTCCTCAGTGGAAGACTGTATCATGGCCCAGGATGCCCAGTGGTGGCTCAACTCTGACCTCACAGGCGACATCTACTCCAGCATGAAGAGCCAGGAGGAGAAGCTGGTGCCGTTTGTGGGTCAGTCGCCCCAGCTCCACCTGCGCCGGTACCTGGTGGACTGGATGGCTATCCTGTGCGAGAAGTATGAGATTGACCGGCATGTGCTGCACCTGGCTGTCTACATGCTGGATCGGTTCATGGACCGCTACGCCATTGTCCAGGAGTCTCAGCTTCACCTGCTGGCATTCACATGCCTGCAGATTTCAAGCAAGTGGAGCAGTCATTGTTACAGGGATGGGGAAAGGGGTTCTAGTGAGAGGTGACGCAATTCAGTGGCGGGGAAAAATTGACAAGGGGAGGGAAGCTGGAGATTGTTTAATACATCACAGCAGTACCTCTTCCTCCATTTTCCACTGTTCTATTCCCCTCCTTTCTGGCCTGAAGATTAGTAGATGCACCAAACTTGGCAATGTGGGAGTCCAATGTGGGTTTGGGGGAATGAAACACATGCTCCTGAATTCTAAATGCTGATTCCAAAATTCTGTCCCAATCAAAAAAACCAAAATACCATCACACAGTGCAGATTATTTCGCAAAGCATTGTGGAACCTACCAGCACTCGGAAACTGGCAAAACTTCCCTTGTCTGGATGTCATCTCAAAACATTAATGGAAATCTCCATAAACAATTAGTTTTTGTGATAAGAAGTTGTGTGAAATGGGAAAATCCCCTGCCCCCTTGTCCTTCCTCCCAGATGACCGAGCTCACTTGGTCTAAATCCTGCGAATCCTGAAAAACATACGGATAATAATGAAAGATGCTGGGAGGCCTGGGGATTAGTGACCACATTGTTAGCTTGACATATACTGACTATCGGTAAAGTTAAATTATTCTGAAAGTTGGTACTTCTAAAAAATTATCCCTCCTGTTACTCAATTGGGGGAGGTGTCAGTGGAAAAATACAAAAAGATAAAAAGAGAAAAGAAAACGAAAGAAATAAAAATTTGACCCCGTCGCATTGTTAGTTGCTTATTTTTAGCTGATAAGTACCCCTTCCCCGGAACCCCCCAATCCTGGAAAAATTTGTCCCCCCCCAAAAAAAACAATCCCTGTGATGCCCATGCATGAAGAGGATTAACCTAGAAACTGGGCATTTTGATTCATTTTAATACGCATCAGCAATGACTGTGTCCTGATGTTGACCATGCCACAGTGCTGCAGTGCCACTGGATACAGCCAACTGACCAGAACATAGAAACTGGTGCGTTGTCATAGATTGTCAGTGCACAGGTATATCAGCCAGCGGAATTATACTGACCAGTTGTACTTCCGTCCATATGCCCGCAGCCAAGTTTGAGGAGCGGGAAGAGAAGGTGTCTAAGCTGAGCATCTACCACGCCCAGTCCAGCGTCACAAGCACCAACAAGGAGGACTACCTGCAGATGGAGCTGCTGTTGCTGCAGTTCTTTGACTGGAACATCACCCAGCCCAGTGCCACCCACTTCCTGGGGTACTTCCTGACAGAGGCGGCAGCGGCGGCCAGCAGCAGCAGGAATGAAGTCTGCCGCAGCTGGCAGGGCGGCTGCAATGAGTACTCCAACATCTACATGCACAAGTACACCAACTACTTTCTGGAGATCAGCTTACAAGGTATGCCTCAAATCATTGCAGGCTTTCCTTCGAATGCACTGGATGTATTCTGGCAGATTTGCTCGCAATGTATTTGTCTTTTGTTTTGGTCTTTGATGGGGATGGGGTTGGTCTTTCATCAGATCATGCCTTCTCCTTTGCCAAGCCATCGCTGGTGGCTGCCTCCTGCATAGCTGCCTCTAGGGTCTGTCTCCAGCTCTCTCCAACATGGACGGCCAGCCTGACGAGGATCACACAGTACAAGTGGGAACACATAGCGACCCACATCGAGCGCATGCTGAGGTTGGTAAAAGCTTATTCACTAAGCAGTGTCAGCGGTGTCTTCATCCTATCCATTACACCCCCCAGTAATTCCCATAACCTGTAGATTATCTACAATAGAAAATAAAGCAATATTACCTCCAAATAACCAAGGATATTCATGTGCTCTAGAATCAAATGATTACAAAAAGACCTGTGGCCTTGCCACTACCGTAACCTGTGATCATTCCTTTCCGTGAGTGCTTCCCCTTTTCAACTTTCAACTTTCATGATAATCACATCCATTTTGCACACTAACTGAAAACTGTGCACAGACACCAATGAAATTCTGCACAGTGGGGGGAAAATTGTGCGTGAATTCTTCCATACACACTGGAAAAATGCAGTGCTTTTTATACGGCTTTTTCAAGTCACGCTTTCTGATAGAGTTTGGGCAACTCAGTTGCGAGAAGTTTTTCTGAGACCCTGTTAACTTCATTTTTTACATATCAATAACTTATTGTCTTCTGAAGATTTTTTGATTGTTTCCTTTTAATTTTCTCTCACAAAAATGTAGAAACGCCATCATTTCAAACAAACAGATAGACTTAAACTCAAGGGGTAACTCCAGGTCTGGGAATTAACCATTTGAATTCAATCTGTTGTGTTCATTTCAGAAACTTTTGGGAAAATTCTGGTGTACTGTGAAAGTTTTTATGTTGTACAAGTTATTGGGAAAATGCTGAAAAAATGAAGGCTAGCTTTCGAGAGAAAAGGCTATAGCACAGCCAGTTTATTAGTGACCAAAAAATGGAATCAAACAGGTGTGACGCCCCCCTGTCATCATCCTACCCTACAGAGTCAACTCGTACCGAGGTGCCACACTCAAAATCCCTTTACAATCTCCATCCAACAGGACTCATGACGTAGACGAGAAGGCTGCCAAATGCCAGGCCAAGGAGAAGACGAGTTACGGCAGCCAGAAAACAATGAGCTACAACAGGGAGGCAGCAGTAAGCCACAGCGGCGACTACAGCAGGGCCATCTGACCAGGGGATAAGTTAAGTTTACAAATGAACCAAGTCTTCCATGGTTCCAGTATATTTCTGGCCCTTCCCCAGTGCCTCAAAAGAAATGTCTGCCGCCCTCCTTTGATATCCCAATCAATTCCTCTCCCACCACAAAAAGAAAAGAAAAGAAAAAGAGCATGATTACAAAAAAGGGGAAAAAGTGAAACAGGTGTATGCAGTTTTCTGATGATTTTTACTCTTTTCCCTTAAGAAAGATTTCTTAAAAGTATCTCGAGTGAGAGTGCAGAAATTATTTTTTAAAAAATGAAAGAATGCCATTTCAAATTTCTTATTATTTCTAAAAATACAAATATGACAATCAGGATTGAAAGTTGTGCCTTTTAAGATTTAGGAGTAGAAATTTATGCAGCTGCGTTTTTTCAAATATTTCAGTAGCATTTTCAAACATTGACATTTGATCAATTTACTTTAATAAACACGGCAAAAATGATTCAAGTGGTTGCACTAACTAGTAAATATTGTGATACCTTTGGAAAGAAAAAGGTTTTATTGATGAAATGATAGTGAATGGAATAACTTAAGAGCCCTTTGCCTAGTTGAAAAAAAAAGGAAAAATAAAACAAAGAAAAGAAAAGAAAGCATGGTTAGTTCTTGAACATTCAAATAGTTGTGGTCAAATAATGCATTAATTAAGTTAGCAGTTTTGTTACGAAGAGAATATTTCTAATTGAAAATGAAATCTTGAAATTGTTATAGTGTATTTGTCTTTCCAAAAGAAGATTTAAATGAAATAATGGTCCGATTTCTGTGTTGAAATATTTGTAATATGACTAAAAAGTCACAAAGTGGCAGGTATTAATGTGCAATTCAAGATGTTGTGCACCTGAAAAGATATTTTAAACATACTGTAAAAGAAGATATATTGAAAGATTTATAAGGTAAAGACCATTGATGTTGAATTAAAAGTACTAATGTACTACAGTGTGCAGGATTAGTGTTTAATTTATGTACCCTTAAATTGAATAGTAATACAAAAAAGCCTTCATCTGAATGAAAACTTAAAATGTCCATATTTACAATTATCAAGTTGACAGAATCTGTTTCTTGAGATTGAACAATCATTTTGGCCAAAGGTGAAGTTAAGAAAAATGGCAATTGTTTGTTTGCAGTTTTGTTGTCCATGTTTAAGTGCAATAAGTCTTGCCAAAGAAAGAAAATGCCAATAATTTAATCCAGTACTGAAGTGAGTCAGTGAAATTCCTGGTGCCTCCACTTGCATTTGAGACTCCATTTGGGACCTCCAAGAGAACTTTCTGTTGCCTTCTAAAATGTAGAGTCCCTCTTTTTGCATTGCCATCTGTGTTGCTTTCAAAAGGGAAAAAACATTCAGTATTACCGAGGACATTCTGACAGCATGTAGATGTAGGTGAATTCATCTAGTTCATTCCTTCTGTATTTATAAGCTGTGTTTTAGTTGGGAGCATTTGAGACTCATCTGTTTCCATCGATGGTTTAAATTTTTAGAGACATAATCAGTCCAGTGTTAAGACTGTGGAGGGCTGTAATTTGATGAAAGAAAAGTGAATCACTACTTTGAACCAGCTGTTTTGTATTCTCGGCAGGGGTGAGATTTCTCAGTTTTTCAGCTGATTTTCGCTTTTTTTGTTTGGATTTCAGCTTTTTTTCCTCACTGGCTGTGTACAAAAGTATAGGAGATTTTCACAGTTCAGCTTCTTTATGTCTTTTTGAGCTGTTTTCAGCTATTTTTATCATTGGTCAATCTCATCCCTGGTGCTGTTAAATTTTGAGGATCTCTCCCCTCAGAAACAGCCACTCCTGTTAGACTTGACTCAAGTCTGAAAAGTTCGATTACAACGTTTCCCAAAATGTGTTATGTCAAGATGCCAAACTTTAGCATTTGTTATAAGCAATATAGTATGACAAAGGAATTACTTGTGTGCTTTTTCATAGAATTCATGAACCATACTTTCTTCATTAAAGCATTTGAATTTTGGGAACAGGATCTTTCATATTTCCGTTTAAAATCAATTGTTTTAGAGCAAGCAAACAGGTTATGATGAATTGATCTTGTGTGTATACAACTCCTTTATTGTTGATTTTTGTGTTTTTCACAAAGGCTCAGGGAAGAACCAGTTTTCAAATTCTATAGATTATGTAGAAGTTAAAACTTCTGTTTGCTTTCTTTCTGTCTTTCCTTTGTAGGTTGTTGACACGCACTTAAGCTTTGTATGTACGTGTATCTTTAAAACCAGAGAGCTATGTTTGATTGACCAGAATTGTCAAAGAAGAAAGTTCAAGCTCAAAGAAAAGATTTTGTTTTAGTATTCGAATTGAGCAAACAAGCCAGCTTTTGAAAATGATTACAGATGAGTTTGACTTGAAACTGAAATGAAAGAGTGTGAAAACTGACATTGCATACTTTCTAACTTGACAGCTTTATTTTCACTGAAGACATTGAAGTCTGTTCCAGACAAAAGAAAGAGAAAGAAGATTCATTTGTACCAAAAGTGTGTGATTTACGTTCCAGGTAGACCAAAGGTATTAAAAAAAGGGTAACTGAGCACGGCAGCCTCTTTGCAGTTCTTTTGAAGCAAATCCCATTGTGTTTTTAGTTTACTGCTCCAAATCTACCTTCAAGTACAATAGGAGTGTGTTATAGGTTTTGTTACAATGGGGTGTCCATTTCCTGTATGACCAAGCATTCCAACTAAAGCTGCATGCCAAGCGCTGTACCAATGGTACGACTCCCCTACCAAGGTCCCACACTGCTGCATTTGCACTCCGTGAATTAGATTCAGAGGCATGGGGGAGAGTATAGTTGCCTTCGGGGGACATGTTGTCACTTCCATATGGAATAGACCTAAGACATCTTGACGCAATGCCTTCTTACATGTGTGCATTGCCATGGGTACGTGATGGACCTCATCCCACCTCACTACCAATGTGATGTCATCATGTTACAGGTCCACAGAAAGTACTGACATTTAACCAGTTAACATTGGATTTTCTTACCCACAAAAACTGCCGGGGGTGGTGATTTTCCTGCAAATTCTTCAAAATTGCGATTTATGACTCAACACATTAATATGTCAACCGCGGAAATGAAAAAGTCTTAAACGAGCGTGCACGTCCTCTGTGTAACAAACAAAAGGAAAATTGTGTGTTTACACGTCATCCAGCATCAAGTGGTTAAGGAAAGTAAAAGCACCTACCATTAGATGGGGGGGGGTCTTCTAATGTTAAAAAAAATCCTGTTTGCCCCACCTGGACTCAAGCGCTGGATGCAGTACTGGAGGAATTGTATATGGCAGAACAATATTTTTTACACTTAAACTGACCAATGATCATGAAAGGTTTTGGGAAAAGTTTTGGAATTTGAGATTTAGATAACAAAACGGAAAAAAAAAGGACCGGTACCCAATTCTTCTTTTTTTTTGGATACTGCTTACATGTTACAACTATACCTTTAAAACACTGTACAAATAAAAAAAAGCAGATTTTCTTTCTTTAAGAGGTCACTTTATTCAAATAGTTAACATGCTATCTCTGAATTATATATAATGGTTTATTTCATCAACAGCTGTCCAATGAATGAATGACTGAAGGTATCCAAATTTACAAGATTTAAGAAAAGTTAAATGATGAGCAAGTGTAGGTTATTTCATTTTGTATGACAAATTGAAAGAAACAAGTCTTGGAAATAAAAAAAAAGCCTAATGTACTTCAAAATATGAGGTCAATGTTCACAAGAAAATAAAAAATCCTAAAACCATCAGTAGTTGAAAAGCAGCAGCACCACCAAAATTGATTGCCTCCTTTCGAAAGTCAAAACACACACAAAAAAATCAGCAAAAATCTTTCAGCTTTGCTAAATGAAAAGACGAAATGCTAGAATTGAACCCGTTGCAAAAGGAACTTCAGCGCCCGTATTGTGAATTGAAGAAGCAGTAAGAACTGGGGAGGCAAAATTGCTCAAATGAATGCATTTAAATGAAATTGGCTGCTCTACTGCAGAATTTCACTGAGAAAACCTACATTGCAATGTTCCACCCATTTTTGAACGGTTCCGATTTCATTAAGAAAAAATGTATGTCATTTCAGTTCATAAAATTTCTGCAAAATGGTCAATTCACAATAGTACGCCTCCAAGAGTCAATGGTCAATGGCATTGCAAACTCTTGGAGGCACACTACTGTGAATCGCCCGTATTGCAGGACATCTCTGTTACACAAATCACAACTGATAAATTCAACAGAATCTTTGAAGGAAAAGTCGTAATGCCATATGAGCCAATGGCAAGCGAATACATAGGCTTGTCATAACAATCACTATTCTTCATTGCACACCTCTGTGCACATTTCTCACAAAAAATGCTTGATAAAAAGCTTACAGTCCTTCGATGGAAACATGATTTGCAGAGTGACACAGTTACAGACGAGTCTTGGAATATAAACTCTCATGAAACCCAAGAAAT